CGTCTGATCAAGACAGCAAGATCTCCACCTGTCTCCTGACGGCCGGAGGCAGTTCCAATTTTACTTTTGCGTTCTGTGGATCTTTCCACGACGTACTAGGGCCTTTCGACCTCCTTGATGTATATGAGCCCTCACGGGCCAATCTGGTTTTTACCCATCGAACTGGAAAGACACGTTGGCAGATTCTTGAGCAAGTCGCTAAAAAACGTGTACTAGAGTCTTCAAATATCGAAACGAAGCGACCCAAGTGTCTGTTTGGGTGCGTAACCTGATGATGAGAGCATCAACGTCCAAATGAAAAGACGCCGTTTGCAAGACAGGCAGCTCCACTTAAGAAAGTTCCACTTGCGGATTGTAGTCAAATTCGTAATCTGTACCACTATCCCTAATGTGCAACTCACTCGGGCCCGCGCGTGGGGCTGCGCCCTGCTCTTCGAATGGCGCCCCTAAACGAGAGCAATGGCAACTATATCCCAAAATATGTGAGACTCCCAAAGGCGCATCGCATGTGTCACGGTTTGCCGGTGCGCGCGCTTGTGGAGATTCTGTTTATGCTTCGAAAAGGCGGTGATAAGGGGAGCAGACGCGGTGAGCGCGTTGGTTTCCACCCAGGTTAACATGACCGTCTCGCCGAAGCCTCTTGATTGTTACCTTGTTTCGTGGAGCAAGCTTTTGGTGTGAGTAGTCTGAAAACGCGGAAAAACGAAAGTGTGGCTCTATTTGGAGTTTCGTCGTTTAGGTGAGAGTTGGAAGTCGGCATGTATCCTATTGGAGAGGTTTTCGGTTCCAGAAGAAGCAGCGGCGGTTATGATCGAGACTCGAGTATGTCTGAGCAGAAAGATGTGGGTGTCCTGACGGCCGACAATCGCTCCAATCCTCTTTGATATCTGCAGACTTCTGACTAGACACTGTTCCCAAAGATGTGAACGTCGATCATAGTTGGATGGTTGTCGAGACTTGGACGCTGCATGATGGGGCTTCTGTAATCTACCGAGCGGGAGAGACATCAGGACAATCTTTCAAAGTACCGGCTCGGATCACGAGAATCTGCGAACCGTAGCCCTCGAAGCAATAGATTTTAGCCGGAGCTCGATGATGAGAGCGTCAATGTCCATGTTGAAGCTCGCGGCTGTTGCAATGAGAAGGACTTGGTAATTACGTACACTGTCATGAGGTTTGATACTGAGATTATTCTTCTCCACCACGTATCATTCCGCTGTAAAACCCCTTAAGGTTGGGTTACGCGCCTTCAAGTGGGCGACCTCTGGAAGAGAGCTATATGGATCGGATTATACCTGCCAGAATCCGGGCTTATGATGGTGGTTACGGTGAAGACTCTTTGCAAAAGAAATTAACCTGGTTTCTGCGCCCGTTCCTGATATTACATCTAAGATATCAAAGAATTTTGAATTGTCCTGCGCTAGGGGGCTAAACACTGCCTTACCAGTTTGTTATGATCATCTTCAGGTTTGTTCTCTAGCGTTGATGCAACTCTCGTGAGCGCGATGTCCAACATCCTTGAACGCTTAGCTCACGCTTCTCGTCGTAGTTGCTGATGCTACACTTTATTTCGCTCTTGGTGCGAGGAGAATTTGTTCAGTTGCTGCAGGCCTATTGCATTGGCCGTTTGCCCCTCTTGTTTTGACGACTTATCCTTGGACGAATGTGGGCCAGACTCTCAATCGGATTAGAATCCCGAGGATCAACCTAGCCCTAGTATAAACGAGCCGCATTAATACTGTTGCACAATACATATCGTTCCTTCAACATTGTAAGAGGCTGCTCTTACAACGATCAAAAGTGCATTCCTTCTGGAGACAATTTTGTCAGTTCGCGCTGGCGTGGCTGCTCAATTGTTGCTTAAAGATGGCGATGATTGAAAAAGCGAGCAAAAGCAGTGGGCACTTTGCAACCCAAGATCGGGCGCAAACTTACCCTAGTCTCGCTGACGCCTTCTGATTGTTGCGATCTTTTGCTTGCTTCTGATGTGAGGAGTTCGTGGCGCGGAAGGAGTGCCATTTGACATGCAATGCTTTGGCAAAGCGTTTTATGAATCTGAGTTGACTATTGGCATGTATCTTAGCGAAAGAATAGCGAAAGAACTTATCTTGCAATGCAAGGCGGGAAAGAGGACAAGATTTGATTTGAGACAATCATGCAAACAACAGATGGCGGCTGATCGAAGTACGTTTGATGGATAGATTTGTGCGTATCGGCGTTGGGGCGGAAACCCGGAACCGTGATCCAGACCTCCCTTACCGCAAACGTCAAGAATCCTTATTTGGATGTAAGGTGACGACAGCCGTGACGTTTCCCAACCTCTGAATATTGCGTTCGTGCGAGGATCCACGAAGGTGTTCCAGGCGTTTTGTGAATTACCTAGAGGTCATCGACCAGATCCCCCGATTTGCACTCACTTGCAGTTTTTTGACTGCCGATTTGTCCTTGTAGAAAGCGAGTCACTTCGCTACTCCAGATGCGTCGTGACCATCGCATCAAGAAGACGAAAGGGTCTGTGCATAGTCGCATTCTGGATATGACGGAGCTCGCGCATGTCTGATCAAGACATGAAGGCCGTGGCGACATTCCTGACAACCACGAGCAGCTACGTTTCAAGGTTCTGCGGCTCAACTGGATCATCAGATTGTAAGATTAAGCTATGTTTCCTTCCTGGATTTGTCGCCAATTTTTTTGTAACGTATCTGCTGCGACGCTATGTGCTGCAAGTATGTTTAGCTGAGAAGATAAATCGGCGTGTGTACACGCCGCCTTTGTCGGCCCCTTTTAGCTCAGCCAAGAAAGCCGGGCAATGTCGTTCCCCAGTCTCACATTGATAAAATCCCCGGCTTCTTTCCCTGGACCTGTGTCTCCGGACTTGCGTCCCCGGTGTCCGGAAGGACGCGGAGCTAACGAAATACCGGACATGGCCGAGTCCGGGGAGGAGGCCGGGAAAGGGGCCCTCCCCGGGCTGTGCCCGGCCTTTTCCCCGGCCCCGGGGGAAAGCCAGGTTTTCCCTGTGTTTGATCATACTGTTTCAAATCTGCCGTTTTGTTCTTTTCTACACATTCGTGACGTAAGTGGTGTAACGTGAGCACCGTTCTGACGGGGCTTTTGTATCTATCGAGCCGGAGCGAAACCACGGCATTCCGTCTATTGACGGGTCCAATACCAAAACGGAAGTCCTCCAAGCAGATCAACTCGAAGTTAGTCCTCGAAGTAAACCAACTGTCAAGTGGGAGCTCAATGATAACAGCGCTGACGCTAAGTCAAGTTGGGCGTCGTTTGTAAATAGTTTCCGCGAATATATTCACGTTCGTGTTTTGCTTTCAGCCACAATCCCTTGGATCGTTGCAAGTACTGTGCACGTCTTGCATGTTATCTACAGCGAAGTAGTCAGCGATGATGCAAACCGAATTGAGCCCGGTTTGAACCTTCTATAAAGCTTGGTTCATTCTTTGACATACTGTGTGCTGATGCTACAATCATTCTCGCTTGCCTGGTCCGTTTTCGATATTTGTAACCTTAGCATCTGGACCAAGTGCTGGTTAGCCATCGTCTTTGAACGATTTCCATCTGACATACTAGTAGCGGAAGGTCAAACGGATGCTTGAACATTTTTACCAGCGCCTGATCGATCCTCCTAGGTCGTACGAATTCCATCCTTTCCCGGACGGAAAGCAAGGCGTTCCTAAGTTTTGTGCGCAGTGCATTAATTGCCGGAGTGAGGATGGGGCCGCGACCAATCACAATCTGATCTGTAGGAACCGTTGGGTCTTGGCTGATATCGGGGAGGGACTTCGAGACCCTGGAGAGGAGTGGAGAGCCAGGCAATTGCAGGCCGTTCCGGGTCACCAGAATCTGTACTTGCTCGGGGATTAGACAGAGTTGATTTTCAAACAAAAACCGTGAGCGTGTCGTAGGTATGAGAGTGTCAGGCAGTCCGGATGCTCTGCAGTTCTGCTGGACATTGGAGTCTGGTAGTCCCGAATCGAAGCATTTTCATGCAGCGACCCGGGCCCAGCTCAGGATTGTGCATTTAAACGAGGTACATGAGTTGCCTAATTCATGCCAGTTCATCATGTAACAGCTAGCTGATTGAAATGTAATTAGTCTTGTCAGACTAGACTCGAATAGTGGCGCATGACCGACCAGTTCCATGCTGGCTGCAAAGTATAATCTCGCCGCTTAGTCGGATGAGCATGTGCAAACACATAGGATCTTTTTGCATGCGTGTATTGGGAGTCAGTCTGTTTGTGAGAGGGTAAGCTGAAACATGTCATGCAGCGCCTGATCGATCTTGAATGACTACGTGCAGAGCTAGTGTGCTGAATCAGCACCTCGTCAATGCTCACGCAGATCAGTTTCAAAGATATTCAACTGAACGTCAGTTCAGCAGCTAGCTGACGATGCAATGGTGTTGAACGTGCACTGTATTGTATGTCCAAGTTGGTCCCATTGCATCATTGCCAGCCTCTTTGCGACTACGTAGTACTACCTCAGACGTGGTAACGAGTCAAAACTTTCTGCATTGAGTTAAAGTTAAATGAATTGCGCCTGTTGATCAATACTAGTAGCCTATAGGTAGTGGAAATACAGTGGGAATGCAGCAGTCGACCATGACAGACCATACGTCGGTGCTCCGGTAAAATAGGACGGCACGTAAGATCTTATATACATGTATGTCCATTGCAGCAGACAAGCGGCAAACCCTAATCCCGCTTTGATTCCGAGTGCTCAGCGTTACCTTGTTTCAACCACTCCATTCATGCTTGCCGCCGCACAGATTACAAGCAAGGCAAACGTAACGCAGCGGTTTTCGCAAGGCACGGTTTGAAGGCAAATCTAGGGTTTGCGGAGCGGAGCGCAACCGCGCTTATAGGAGTTTGCAATCGTAACAGTCTGGCCGGCAGTCGTCATCACCAGGAAAACGCGCATGATGACGATGACGCAGCATGATAGCTAGGTAGGTAACGTTATATACTAATAGCTTTCGCACGCCCCTCGTTTTCTTCTTTTTCATGGGGAGTTCTGAGATCGTGGTATCGTTTTGCCTTATTCTACCATCATTCCATTGAGAACGAGCAGCCTAGCTGGCCATTTGTTCTCGTTCTTTCGGCTCCCCTTATGGATCAGGAACTTAGTCACCGGCTAGAGGCAGATTTTTAACTTGGCGAAAGCAAGGAATTAAGGAAAGCAAAACTTTGAAATCCATGTACCACAAATGTTCTGAAGCGAACGAGTTGCCATCAGACGGTGGACAACTGGGGTGCTCGGGGCATATCCAATTGTTTCTTCTCCTGAGGATTGATGATCCGTTGGAAGACTCTAGAATAATTACCCAAAATTTGTTGAGCTTCTAGATTGCAAATAGATGTTGTGACAATTCATCTCATCCACTAGTTCCGCAGCAGAGCACATAGTATCTTGAAACCAGTTGCCAACCAACGGAGCCATTCATTACTGCTCATGATCACAGAAGCAGACGTTGAAGCACAAGCCTTGACAGTTAGTTCAAGCCCTACAGCAACTGTGGAATCAGGTATGCAGCAATAGATGTTGAATTTCATTTTGTTCAAGCGATTGCTGAGTGGAGGATTCTTAGCTGGGTACTGCCCTAGGAAGTTCAGACTCGCCTCTCCTACCAAGAATGCAGACAGCTTCTGAACAAACACATTTGTGGACGACGCTTGAATGAGAAAATCTTGTTCAATAAACTTGTGGAGTTCCTGAGACGTGTCTCAGCTTACGAAAGAGACTGCTTGTTGTCCCCGTAAGAACTTGATAATGGTGCTACACTTGTGTCCAGATTGTTTCCAGCTAGCCTTTCAACATGTTCTTCTGCAGATTGCTGGAGAATGGTCTCCAGTGCGACAAATGAATGAGTGTCTGCACGTCAACTGTACTGCACTCCAAGCTGGTGTTGCCAGATATCCCTTCACAAGCAGTAGCACCAGTAGTATTGGTCAGCATACCAGCTGCAATCATCCTTCTCGGTAACTTGAACGGTTCTTACTGCAGGTTCATTACATCCTTATACTGAGCTGCTGCATCACCTTAAAAAAGGCTGTCTTTCTTTTCCTACAGGTATCGAATGTCTGAGGACGCACCACCTTGGCGCGCAAAGACAGCTTGTAGAAAGAGAGATAGAGTGCATCACAAATGAGCTCAAGCTCTACGGACAGTAGATACTAGGCTGCTTGGAAGGTGTTGAAGCGTGAGCGCTTTAAATAACCTCCCAAGCGCATAGCTTATAGATAGATGCTCGATAGCATCCGGGCCCGCCTAAGGCGGGCCACAGACCGGCGAAGGCAGGCCAGCCGCGCCGAGCAATTGGCCGAGTCCCCTGATCAGGCATTTCAGGGTTTAGTGGAACCTTCCCATGAGCTCAATCACACCAAGCCCGAGGGCGTTCAGACCAAGCACCAAGTGCCCGAGCTTATTCTCAACAGGCCTCAAACGGTGGACCTTGGGAGCTTGCTGCATTCGAAGGGGTTAGATGAGCCGCACATTGCTCCCCCCGGGCTGGTAGAAGCAGATGCGACAAGGCCAAAATCGAGTCAAGGGGGAATAAGGGCAAGGGTGGAGCGGCGCAAGAGTGGGGGGGATGCGGAGATGTTGGTTTTGGAGGGCAGGAAGGGGGGGGCGGCGGGGAAGCTCGTGTCAGAGTGGGAAGCAGCAGTTGAGGTGAGTGGCGGGCTTGCCACAATCGCACACTATCATAGTTATCAAGGCCGATGTTCTTGGTATCCTCTTGAGCGAGCACATCAGGTCTAGGCAATCGGGAAGTATCAGGCCCTCATATTTTTGGCATCCGCTTATGAGATAGAGCTCCAAACACACGACTTTGTTTGGAGCTCTAAGGCACTATGAGGCACTAACTTCAAGGCAGCTAAACTTCCTTTTTCCAGAGACATAGTGATATGGGGTTCTCGTCTTGAGGCTGCCATGCCAGAGGCAGACGGTGTGGAAGCATCTTTTTGCGTCAAAGTAGAGTCCGAAATCTGGACGCTTTTTGAGCTGGGTCAAGGGGATTTGTTTTTCTGCAAACCTGACCACGACGCCTGTCAAAAGAGGGTGCATGGCGATGGTTGACCAGGTGCATGACATCACCAGCTGCTGTCGTGTACATAATCTCGACGAAGGTTGTCCAATCTGACGGTACCCCCTGCATGACCCAGTTGTTAGAGTGAAACCTGAGGGGCTCTTCCGAGCAGGTTTGCTGGCGATTAGTTCCCTTTCTTTCCATTCTTTGCGCACAATCAAACATCAAGGGCTCATCCTGCTCTAGCTGACTGGAGCTCATGATCTCGCTTTCCCCTTCGCAGGAGAGCCCTTTGCAAATCAGCACGATGCCTCTTCGAGAGGCGTTGACCAGCCCCCGCAACCGGCCGACCTCTTCCAAACCATCAGACAGGCGGGCGGAGTCGAGCAAGTCAAAGAAGGACACGTGTCAGCCGCAGGGCGTCCCTGCCAGACAGCCGGTCGACGATTGGGCGAACGATCGGAGAGCAAAGACGAGCCACGGAAGCAGAAGCAAATGTACCGAGGGAGATGAGTTTACAAATCCGGTCAAAAAGCGGGTTCAATCGGCGCGTCAGGTTAACCGACGGGAGGAGCGGGGTTCCGACGAGGGTCAGGAAAACCGGGGGCTTAACCCGGAGGCCCCCAGTCCGTACAAGCCCGCGCGCACGGAGAGCCGTCCATCGAGCTCCCAGTCAACGGCCGAGAAGTCGCCCTGGAAACGCCCAGGAAATTTAAGACGGGCCTCAGTCCTTGCGCCAGCATTCGGAACCACTAACGGATTAGACGGCACGCAAGAAAAGTTCGTAGTCCGGGGAAGGGGCGGGTTAGAGGAGCGGAAAGAAGGGCGAGTTGCAAAGGGGGGCGTGGCCAAAGCGAAGGAAAAGGTTGGGGGAACGAAAAGAGTAATGAAAGGGGCAACGAACGCAGGACGGTCTGGAGCGCAGGATATGGAGTGGCGGGAAAAGACGCCCCAGCTGGTAAGCGGAGATGCTGTGCTGGTGCAGAGTCGGATTTAGCCATATAACAATTGGAGTCTACTCATAGGTAAACCGCGTCTGCCCCGAGTCGGTAGGAGGATGCTAAGAAAGAATGTGCCTCGTGGAACTTTGCGTAAGTTAAAATGGCGGAGTGAAGTTACCTGCTTCTATGATGCATGAAACCATTGCTTGTTAGAATTTTCCGTGGGCTTATTATGAGCGCGAAGACGCCCATTTGACCCGCAAACATGATTATACAGATTTCAACAAATCAATAGCAGTCGCCATTCCTCGCCGGTTTCGGACTCCTTTCCAACGTGAGAGCGGACTGGTCGCGTCTCCAAGCCAGGTCACAATCTCTTTAATTCTCTTGGGGAAGCTCTGTTACCAGCTGGGACGCACTTGATTGTAGTCGGAGCTCATCATGCCCTCGTTAGCAAAACCCTCGATAAAATTCACCGCTTCGGTTTTTATTTGCGAGACAGCTTCCTTTTTGTGCGCGCAGGCGAAGAACCTGCTGGCGAGCAGTGGTCCCTCGCAAGATCCCCCGGCCCGCAGCCGCCGAAAGTCCGACGGAGACGAAGCCCCCAAACGGAGAGTTGCGACTCTCGTTTCGAAGCGGAGAGTGTCTCTTGATTCTGCTCCCAGCCCCAGTACCAGCAGCAGGGGAGTCGCTTCTGAGCCCCAAGGCCCCCCTGGAACCGGAGCTCCGGCCGGGGGGGTATCGGGAAACGCTTCCGCGCGGTCGAGCGATCCCCCAACTAGGGGAACCGTGGAGGAGAAAGAAAACGCTTCCTCGTCGCCGGCAAGCGGACGTGACGTCAGCTCTGCCACCTTTGATGACGTCAGCACGAGCGTCTCATCAGGATCTCAAGGGAAAGGTCCAAAGAGCGTGGCGGGGGGCGCTTTCGTTCCGGTCAGCGGAAACCGGAAGAGCAAAGCGGGGTGCGCCCAGAAGGACGGAGCACGAGACGGCAATTCCTGTGTCTCTGGGCTGAGCGGAACAGCGGAAGCGGCACCAGGCGGAAGATGCGGCGATCAAGCCGGACTATTGATCGGGAGGGGTTCCAACCGCCCCTCGACGCCGTCTCCCTTCGCAATCGTCAGCAAGAAGGAAGACGACGCAGCACGCAAAGCGGGAACCGTTGGAGTGGCACGGAGCCTGTTCCGGCCTTCGGATGAGGGCGGAAAGGTCCAAACGGACGAGTCCGGCTCCGGCGACCTGCTGGAATGGATTCAGGCGGACGGCCGGAAGGCCGGAAGCACGGGTTCAGAACGTATCCGCAAATGGGGGGGAGCGGAAGCGGCTGATGGTGCCCCCCCGGAAAGCACCAACTCGAAAAACTCGAGAGCTCCCGTTTCCGGAGATACAGCGAAGGGGGCCGACCCCAGTGTGACGTCACCCGAAGTCCCGACGTCCAGACTGCAGATCGGCGAGGCGTCAGCGGAATCAGGCTCGTCAGCGGAACCAGCAAGACTCACGAGTGACTTCATGCTGACGCACGACGCGCTGACATCGGGACAGCACGCGGAGCGGCGACTCATGCAAGAGTGCGCTGCGGTCATGGAGTGGCTGGGCTTCAGCTTGGAAGTGCTGGTGAGAAGAGAACCTCGAAACCCTTCTCATCTCGCGTACGCGGCCGCGTGTTGCTTTGTTGGGCAGCTCACACACTGGCTAGACTTCAGTACAGCCGCCAGAGAGTGAGAAGTCCCCAAACCTTTTTCTAAGTGCAAGACGCGGCCGCGAATCGCTTCAAATAGGGAGTCCCTGAAGGCTCATATAGATTAAGCTTGAAAGTGCTGGGAAAAGGTACGACCTCCAAAACCCGGTCCTGCTGGTGACGTAGCCGCGTGTCGCTTCGTCGGACGTCTTCCCGTTTGCCCGCTTCACTGCACGGGCTGCCGAGCCCAGACTTCGCATTTGCGCAACGCGCCAGCGAGCCGTCCTGATCAAATCCTTATCAGTTTGCGTCAGCTCCAAACACCCTGGCAACAGCTTTCTCTATAAGTGACCACGATGACCCCTGAGCTGCGGACGGCCGCCTTTTCCGGGGCATTCTTCTGAGCCGTTTCTGAACCACGCCGGTTGCCAAATTCTACAAGCTGAACTAAAGCGCAAGGTTTCACTGTACTGCCTTAACCTTAGTGGTCAGATAGCCCATCTACTCTGCTGATTGGCATTCCCAGCACTCATTATATGAGTTCCCTCGAATTTCTTGATTTACAACACTGACTTCCTCCCTTATCGATTTGCGAAGTTCATAGTTTGCAAGACAAAAAGTAAGCTTAGGAAAAGTGGTTGCGTATCAGTTCTCCGCCTCCATGTCGGTCCAACTTTGCTTTCTTCACCCTTGATTTGGGCTAAAGGCAGATTCTTTGAATATACCAAAGAGATGACAACGTCGCTGTCTCAAAGCTTTGATTCCTTTCAGAGGACGGCAGTCGACCTTCACCCCGACTTCTTTTCCTTGTTCAGCTTCATTCTGTAGAGCAGAACCATTTACACCTTCTTTTCCCATTCGCTTGCAGCTGGAAGAGATCCTGGAACCGCCACCGATTACCGCATCCCCGATGCACCGATTGAAGGAGGCGAAGGCGACCGGAAGCCCGAGGACCCTGGCAAAACGGTCGCCGAGAGGCAGCCCGAAAGGTCCCCCGAGGAGCCCCAGCAGCAGCCCGCGGCTGGGGAAGCACGGCTCTCCGACTAGCAAACTGTCGCCGCTTTGGATCCCCCCTTAAAATATCGAGCTTCGGTGCATTTAGCAACGGCAATCTGGTGACTTTTTGTTCACAGTATGGCTGTGTTGCCTAGATACGGGTTCCGGGAAGAGGGGGTGGAGTTTGGGGGTTGCTAGTGGTAACGGGTGCGGAGCGCAAGACGGCCTGGATCAGGGTTTTTAACAGGCGGGTGCTTCAGATTAGAAAAATGCAAGGCTTGAGTGAAGCCTTGAAGACAGTAGTTACCTTTAAGAACGACGACTCGCGCATCCATGAGTGGATGCAGGGATACTTAGACTGACTGTGTGACGGTTTGTATATGAGCGCCGCGGAGAATCTCAGATGAGGCCGGTCCAAGCGGGTGCCGGATCAATCTGTTCCCACTTTAGGTTTGAGAGAGAAGTATTTGGTTAACGCAGCGCAGCACAGAGATGGGGTGCTTCCATGCGTGAGGCCATGCGAGAATCAGACTGCTAGAAATCGGTGTAAGGACGATAGATCATATGCATCCCTCAGGTACTAAGAATCTATAGGATAATATTTCGAGTAATCAGCGGCCGCCTGATCGGCCGACCACTGGCACCATATCATGGTCACTACGGCCGTCTTTTGGTTTCTCTCGCCGGTCGAGTGTTTTGAATCCTTACGAATGCTCGAATCACCTGAACGAGCTCATTGAGAAGATGCTCATTACGCGTGAGTACCCTCAGAGTGCGAGTCCAAGTCGCTCAAGTTTGCGAAAACGCATATAAGAAGCCAGCTTAGTACAGCTATATTGGGTTTAAGCATGCAGATGATATCGAGCGGCGACTCAACGGGAATCAAGTTCCGACGTTGCAAGGAGGGTGAGAGTCGTTCATGCATTATGCAGCTTAAACTTACTACTGGACGCCTATGACTCATTGGTTCAATCGAGTCTCTTTCAAGTGAGCGGACGCCATCTCAAGTACCTTAGAATATAGCTGGGTCGCCATGCTTGTATTAGAAAGCATCAATCATGCAATGCCGTGCGATAGAACTATTAGTCCAGCTCAGTCCATCGTACTTCCCCGGACCGCAACCGTTTCACTCTTACAGTTAACACAGCTAAATCTCCGCTGCTAAAAGCTGACAGTTGTATAGTCTGAGCTCATCCTAGCAAGTACAGATTTTGGTGACCGGGGACGGCTTGCCCGCTTCTCCACTCCTCCCCCGGGTCTCGGAGTGCATGTCCGATATCCGCCAAGACTCGATGGTTCCTACAAATCAGATTATGATTGGTCGCTAATCCATCCTCACTCCCGCAACTAACGGTGATATACCTCTCACAGCACACCTCCAGACACTCTCCGTCCCGGGGCCGAGGGTCGAACTCCACCAGCTTCTCAAAGGCGAACGGCCGGTTATGCGTCTGGACGTAACGCACGCACCGGATTGGGGGATCGCCGTTACGGCCCCTTTCGTGGTTCCATGCATTCAGACGCCTCTTCAGAGACCCGGCTCTCCCCTCGGGTGTGGCGACGACGATCGTGCCGATTTGGATGTCGCCATACGAGGGCAGCGCTAGAAGCAGGAAGGTGACGTAAGCCGCGCCCAGTCCGTGCGCGACGATGTTTGGGGGCTTGGTCGTGGGGGCGAACTGGAAGATGTCGAGCAACAGATCCTGCAGCGGGAATCAGGAATTTCCGACTTTCATGCAGACACAAAGTGCACAAGTCCTTGGAAAATTTGAAGAGCAGCAAATCCTGCAGGGAGAAGGAATATAGACTTTCATGCAGACACAAAGTGCACACGTGTTTGACAGATCTGACGAGCGACAGCTTCCGCAGGGGGAAGGAAGACAGACTTTCATGCTGACACAATGGGCACAAATGTTTGAGAGATTTGACGAGCAACCGATTCTGCAGAGGGAGGAATACAGAGGCAGATGCACAGTTTACCAGTGCACTTTTACCTGGGAAACTTGAACATCTAATTTGTGAATTCCTAATTCGTCTTTGATGCCAAAAAGCAGGTGGTTTGGAAGAACGGCGTCACTGGAATCTCCGAAGCTGAGCCAGACCGCACTGACATTCTAAGAAAGCTCTGAAACACAGTTCTCTACTTTGCACTCGTCCGATCTCAAGTCAGCTTTAATGAAGGTATCCAGGACCCCACAGAATGCGATAGACGTTGCAAATCTCTTGACGAGCTTTGCGGGCGAAGGTGTTATTCTTTTTGCTAATTCCGCGGGGCCCCACCGCGGGTAAAGACACTACTGACGGAGATCGCCATATTTTCTCAAGGACCTCTATTTGTGCGACGCTCCCCCAAACCTTCAAAAAGTTGTGTCCGGGCTTGCCTTGTAGGCTGCTTTTGAAATGAGCATGGCAAAAACAAAGAAACTGGTCTTCTATTAGGCGTGTACGAACGCAATCCAAAACGATATACGCTCCTAGTGGTCCTCAAGAGCCTATGATGAAGATTCCTCACGCGGAGGTCGTTGCCGCTGAAATATGCGTCTTCCTTGTCTGAGAACCAGGATGCGGAACCAAGAGTTCCTTTGGAACGCCACCCGATGACTACGCCCGGGCCGCCGGAATGGATCCCGCTCTGCAATAGCGGAAAATAAAAGTGGAGAACTTGACAACAGCGTTAGCCAGAGGCCAGTAGATCTTAGTGGGCGATTGGAAATTCGAAAATCCCAGGGTCAACCCAGATTTGCGAAAAGCAAAACGGACACGGGAGCAAGACTGCTGGTTGGATCACACTGGATGAGCTCACCATCAAACGGGCAGCCAGAAACAGCTGCTCGGCCGAGTCTAGGGCAAACCTGTGTCATCAGAAGCGGAAGCGTTTGAGTCACTAATTTCTAGAAAGATGAACCATCAAAACTACAAGCTTTCAGACCTTACATTCGCCTAGAAACAAGTTTTCAAGCAGCATACAAGGAATGTACGTTACGATTAGGATACAATGACCGAGCCGGGACTGCGAAGAGGGGTCTCTCGCCAAAGCGATCAGTGACTGTGCCTAGTTCGGACGTCTCTATCAAATATCACTCCTCGTGACGAAAGTTATCCCGGAACATTTGTACCTAGCCTGCGCTTGAGCCGGGTACTGGAATCCAAAGTACTCCACATGCTCTCTGAGCGGGGGAGTCGGTAATCGAGGACCGAAGCTGGGGACCTTGTCGGAGCGGATGACGTGGCAAGGTTCCAGCACAAAACCCTCGTTAATGTAGCGTCTGATACCAAGGCAGTGGACGATCGAGAATTGGTTCTACACATCCCAAACCTTGGTACATGAATCGTTCAAATACATGACTACTTCAAGAATGAATCGGGACGCGCGTTGACCTACAATTTCAACAGCATCCCTAATCCAAATTTCAGAGTTTCTGATTTTCTTTGAGTTTCTGATTGTCCTTTTCCCTGCTGTTTCTGTTTTGATGCGTAACCCGGGCAGAAGATCGCGCCCGGGTCGTCGGTACTGTCGCTCCACGCGGCGTACAGCTCCAGGAACTGTTGCTTATCCAAGCGCCAGAACTCGGTCACGTGCATGGCGTCGAAACTGATTTCCAGATTCTCTTCGATCGGGATGGACACCTGTGAAAAGGACACGCGAAGCGACGAAATGAAGAGACTGTTACGTGCGCGAGCGTCGCCCAGCTTTCCGGCAAGCCACGGATAGGTGGTGGTGGAATAGAAGGGCGTCCAAAAACGGGGCTTCGCGACTTCGAAGACCTGCTGGAGTGAGCCCGTTGGTCGCCGGAACAGGCTTCACTGGTCACCTACCGATTTCTTGCCAGGGGTCGTCTTAAGAATTGCTCAACCAAGGTTAATATTCCCCTACCGCAGCCCACCTCTTCACAATCTTCCATCAACAAAATGGACTCTTACTGCTGTTTTTCCAGACAAATCTCAACTTTCGGTAGTTGATTCATTGACCGTTGGATCAGCTAACTCTGCCAATTGTACGGTACGACTTGTACTCGTCGAGAATATGGGTTTCACGATTTCGCGGGTTTTCCCCAGGGTGTTCTAGAGATAATAAACAAAACCCTCACAAAGGCCACTCCGTAACGGACACCAAGGCTCGCGTCTCTTTTGCCCTGGGGTAAAAGCGCCGGCAAGTGATTTCCGTCCAGCACCGGAGATCCGTCGTCCCTTTCCCAGCTCTTGTCGGTGTAGAGCAGTATTGGCACCTGTGCGGACGTCGATATGTTTGTTTGAATGACCCAACTTTTTCTTGAGCTCCTATGAGAGCCTGAACTAGCTGATTGTAGAATAAGTAGAGCTGTCCAAACCGAAGGCGGAAGTTCGTACAGGCCGCTTATTCCGAACGGCCCGAGCTAGTCGTGGAGTTGAACATTGAGGAACATACGTCACCGTGCGACACTTGAAATAAAGGCCCTGAAAAAATCTTCCCCTCTTTTGACGATTCGTTCCGACATAGACGAGCAGACTGAATTGCAGAACGAAGCCGATAAACTCAAGCGACGCGTAGCGCGAATCCTTACCACTTCGAAATATTCGCCGCGAATCATTCTCATTCTTTCCATCTGTTCTTCCAAACTCATCGGCGGCGGAATGCACTCGACTCCCGGAAAGGCACCGGTCGCGGCTAGCGTATCCCAATCCTCTGCTTCCCTGGAGTTGGCAAGCGGGTCGTCCAACCGGTTCACAGAATCCAGCTGTAGGGGACACCACCGATAACCTCACAGATAGCTGGTCACGGTCGTGTCAATTTGCTTCAATGAGAAAAGGACCATCCGATTCGACTAACTGGTCTATTTATGTGGTTTTTGGGCTGTAGGGTAACACCAGAACTGCGCTGTATTGCGTTCTTCAAGTAAAGACTCCGTGCCGCAGAAAGATGCTAGCGGCAGGATGAGAAACAATACCACCGCTCAGTATCGCACACATTCACAGTTTTGAATTTCACGTGAGTCAAGCCGGCTGTATGCAAAGAAGAAACCGTTGTTTTTTATCGTTGCAAAACCAATCTTCGTCATTTTCCCCAACAGAAGACAGACTGGCAGAACTCCTAAGCCATTTTGATCTTCGTTATAAATATGAACTGAAAACCATTGCGACGGCATAACCGGACACAACATTTACCATCATTTGTAGGGTGCTCCGCAAATCATGAGCGGCGTCTTCCATGTTCTCTTCGTACTCTTGTCCGGTGAAAAGAAAGTACGAAATATCGTTCTGCAGCAGGTCTTTCGGCAGCTTCCGGCGGAATCTCGCCGCCAGCGGACCCCCCATCGCCTCGATCTCTACAAGGAGGGCTAAGACTCGCTGGTGGCAGACAGGGGGCTTTGACGCTGCGTTCTGGATCCGTTCCACTGGTTCTTTTAGCGGAACCAGAATGCGAGCGGAAACGGAGACGAACGCGAGGGAGTGGGTCAAGCGGCGCAGGGTGAGGTAGTCGTCCGGAAGGAAGAGATTGCTGACGCCAGCGGGAATCTGGAGTGCGTCTGACGTCTGCAAGGCAAAATTGGATCCAATAAGCATCTCGCGATTTCACTTTTTCCGCGTTACATCAAAAGATGCGCCCAAGCGCTCGATTTCAGGATGCAAGGGGCGCAGAATCCAGTGTCAAGCCCTCTTACCTTGCGGATGATCCTGTCGAATGAAAACAGGGTAATCAGGTTTCAAAAATTTAAGATCTCCCACCAGTCTCTTTCAGGCGCAAGAAGTATGCCCAGTGCGGAGGGTGAATGGACGAGTCGCCAACTCATTGAGCCTGGCCGGAAGGTTCGCGCGCTGACTTGGTGCTCACACAGGCATTGGCCGGAAGAACAGCTAAAAATATCTAAACTTGGTTTAGCCGACCTAATACCACGGGACGGAGGAGGATAGATTGAATTAACCACCTATTGATCCATTAAGGACTGAGGCGAGAAAGCACCTGAGACAAGACCCATTGACAAAGACAAGGAGCAACCGTACCTCGAGTTCTTCTCGGCCCGGCTTTGGAAGTCTGATCTTTTGATGGTCTCGCCTGGATTGCCCTCTCGTACAGCCATGCTAAATGGTCATCGTGCTTTTACTAGAAAGGAACAAATCTTGATTCGCATCTCAGGAAGAGACAAGTGCTTCCCCTATGATTCTGCGTGCGAGTAGTTGAAAGCAGATTCTAGCTCAGATACGTAAAGTTTCGGACGTACCTTGGACATGGATGGCAGCCGCGAGCGAGGCCACCAAACCCCAGACAAAAGGCCCCCGCTCCGGACGGGGTAAGAATGAACGGGCTCAATTCGACCTAGCACGTCATCCAGGCAAGCCAGTTGAAGGTCCGCCGTCACTCTAAAACCCTGCTCAGAAATAACACGCCTGCCCAGCGCCGCCATCTGCGTAACCTCTCGCAGCGCCTCGTTAACCGCCTCCTTGAAAACACCCCCGAGCTCCTTAACCCTTTCCACTAACCCGCCTAGCTCCTGGACCCAGGTCACGAGGTTGTCGGTTATGGCTAACAGCTTGCGTTGCTCGCTAACCAGGGTCTTAACAACCTGGAGGAAGGAAGAGTCTCGGGTAAGTTGCTGGGGGTTGTCCTGGAGGCATTGGCTCAGTTTGTGAACAAAAGTCATGAGGAAAATTTCGGTATCCCACCGGATGAGCCCGGGCGGTGGCTCAAGCCCTGGCCGCGCTAACGGTCCTGATTCCATCAATGCTGATTGGTGATCTCTGAACCCCAAGTCCTAAGTCCTACTTTTGTGGATGGAAAGAAGGCGCCTCCACGAAACAACACCCTGCTGGTTGCCTTCAACTTCAAGTGGAGTTGAAGCCGCCTGAAAACAGCAACAGAGCGCTAGCTTTCGGTGCAGGTTGTCCGAGTATGCAGAGTATCTTGCAATTACGAGCTCGCAAGCGGAAATACTTGCGCAGCCGCCAGCTAGGGTGGAGTGGCTTTGTTCAACTTTTGCGAACCTGACATAAGGTGACACATACTAATAGATTGAAGGCGCCGCTTCAATTCGCGCCGCTGCCACACGGCCGCCGTACGGGCGGACGCTCCGCGGCCGCGACCTGAGCGCCGCGCCCGGCCAGGGTTTTTGATAAAGGCCGGACGGCCGCGGGGCCCCATGTTGAGAAATGCGCGGCCCGCGTCGACGCGCCCCTGCGCAACGCCGTGCATGGCCTTAAGAGTTTTTGCGTTCCTTGATTTCCCAGCTTCGCCCCATGCCTTCGATATGCACGGGCTTTAAGAGAGGTGTCCATACAAATGCTATATTGCTGAAGCTCTGTATATCATACGCCATGTACAAATAAGCATTTCAACTGATCGGAGCTCAACTTTACAGACATACAGAGAGAAGCTAAGTATCTGCATATGCTAAGATCGACTGAGCGGCGTATTTAGACTTCGCAGTCAGCATGGAAATTGTCGGTCATGCAGCAATCGAGTCTACTTCTGCCCATGGTCCGATCAAGGCTTCCTCTTGTATCGACTCGTTTTGATGTAGTATGAGTTAAGCAACTCCTCATAGAGCTCATTTGAATGCATGAGCTGGGCCCAAGCCTCTGCATAAAATGAACATCTTTGGTGCCCAGAATTGCAAAAGCGTCCGAATCGGATCGATGCACTCCCGTGCCCAGAACTGCAAAGCGTCCGAATTGCAGCCTTACGCTAATACCTTCAATACGCTCATCTCAGTGCGATTTGACAAACGACTCTGTCTATTCCCCCAGCAAGTACAGATTCTGGTGACCTGGGCCGGCTTGCCCAGCTCTCCACTCCTCGCCCGGGTCTCGGAGTGCCTGTCCGATATCGGCCAAGACTCGACGGTTCCTACCAATCAGATTGTGGTTGGTCGCGCCTCCATCCTCGCTCCCGAAACTGACGGTAACGTACTTCTCGCAGCACACTTCCAGAGACTCTCCGTCTCGGGGCGGAGAGTCGGGCAAGACCAGCTTCTCGAAGGCGAATGGCCGGTTATGCGTCTGTACGTAACGCAGGCAACGGACTGACGGAGGATCGCCGTTACGGCCGCCCCAGCTTTGCATGTGGTCCATTTGGTATAGATACTCTCTGAGAGATCCGGCTTTCTCCTCGGATGCAGCGACGACAATCGTGCCGATTTGAGCGATTGCTTGATCGGGTAGTGCGAGAAGAGAGTAGGTGATGTAAGCAGCGCCCAATCCGTGCGCGATGATGTTGGCGGGCTTGGCCGTGGGGGCGAATCTGAATATGTCACGCACAAGATCCTGCAAAGGATTGGGAATAGAAGCATGAATGCGAGACTGTACGAGTGCATTTACTTCGCCCAGTAGGGTCGATCTTTAGAGACATTTTATACGCCTCCAAAAAGCAGGCAATGGGATTGACAATCGGCCTCATCGTCGGAAGCTCCGACACTCTATGACTGACTATAATCTGCAGTTGTCTCTTGTCAAATCTGCTATTATAGTTGTAAGTCCTCAGATTGTTTCGACTACAGATCACTGAAAATTTCCCAGCGTTTGCGAGAGTGGGCGAAGATCCAGTCGTTGATCCAAGAACGTCTTTCACATGACTTTCCTTCTGAGTTTGTTTACAAATTGTGTCCTGGCACGATCATTATTCCTGCCCAGAATAAGGAATAATCTGATCAAGTACGACAAGCAAAGGATCACGAGCACATTGATCCTTGACTGAAAACCAGCTTCCAGCAGGTACAACGCAAGCATACGCGTCCGGCAAATTTCCACGAGCATATAGTAAAATCTTCCTCACGCGAAGTTCCAGGCGCGGGCCTTGGACTTGTTCCCTGTCTGAGATCCAGGGCCCGTAACCAAGGGCTCCTAGAGAACGCCACCCAATGACTACGCAGGGGCCGCTGGAACGGATTCCGCTCTGCAACAGCGGAAAAGGAAAGTGGAGAGACAACACTCCAGTCGGGATCGACTTCATCTTGCCCAATTGAGTTGTCTGGTTGAGTGAAGACTGCGGTCAACCTAAAAAAGTCAAGATTTGTATTGACTATGGTAAGTATTAATCCAGCAGAGATGCGCAATTTCAGAAGAATCTGAGCGAAGGTTATAGAGCGAAGTAAGTTCTTAAGAACCCCGTGCATCTGATGCCAGCAATCTTCTTTCCAAAGTTGTGCGCTCCAGGTTTTGCATTTCCTAAACCTACGGCGCCTCCTCTTGATACATACATCACATTATAAAGCCCGTACCGAAGCATGGGGCTTAGATGAGTACATAGGGTCAGGGCCGTGTTTGTCCGACAAGCTACCTGATCTACCTGCAAGCAAGATCTTATGGCTATTATCTCAACGAAACCATTGACAAGCTGACAAGCTACCGAACCGTTCTGGCATCAAGTCACACCCCAAGTAGAAGTCAGAAACCAACCGTAGGAAAGACAAAATCAAACTAGCTAGGACCAGATGCGTGCTTGGATCGCACATCATTGATAGCGTGCACCTATTCCAGTGCGTTGGATGCATCAAGATGGGTAGATTCTCATCTGACAAGTCGCGTCGATTATGATTTCCCGGGTTCATCCAGCTTGCCAAAGGCCGTAGCAAAACTAGGAAAAGCTCACAATGTATGGCTGCCGTCGGATGCGTCCCATAGCCAACTCAGGATTGGGCTTTCTTAGAGTTTCGACATTTTGTGAAGACCACGCGAGATTGTTGACGACAGAGCAATGAAAGCAACTTTCGTGGCTGAATTCTTATCAAACACTTTGAGGGGAGCTCACCATCAAGCGGGCAGCCAGGAAGAGCTGCTCGGCCGAGTCGAGGGCAAATCTGCACAACCAGAAGAAGAGAACGCTTTAGTCACTCGAGAACCCTGAAGCGCGAGCCAGAAGTTCCTACAGGCACCGAATTCTCCAGACTCAGGTGCCAAAACGAGGATAAAGTAAACGTACACGATGTTCCCGTCCCCTTCAATAGATCTTCACGAAGCCGAGGGGCGCAAGACCGATCCCTCGCACCGTCCAGAAGCCTGACTAAAGTATGCGAATATCTCTGTTTGTGCATAAGACGTCATACAACGTCACTGCCGTTGTCAAAGCTCCTTCCCCGAAAACAGCTGTCCGGAGGGGATCGGAGACAGACAACGTTGCTTTCTGGGCGGTGTCGATTTTTGTAAAGACGAGTCGAAAACAGACGACCCAGATCGTTAAGGATGTTGGAAGAGATGATTTGGCAGGATTACGTACGAAGCCCTGGTCAAAGCTGCTCTCAACACTGATTGAGAAGGGCCTGAAAACCCCAGCATTCTCAGTCTCGGTCTCAACAAGGCTAAGTTCTTCATATTAAAGAATAGCGAGCTTTGGGTCAGAAATCTAACCAACCCGAACGGGTGAGGTCGACTCGGGGTTTTCAGGTGGGGTCAATGGGTGCGGAGAGGTGTTAAAGGGTTCGGTTTACAAGTGAGGGCAGGGGCTATGTACATATCCAAAGCTTAGTATACCTACTAGGTTGAAGACGCATTCAAAATCCCCGATTCTTCTTAACCCTGCTGTTTGCGGTTTGATGCTTACCCCGGGCAGAAAATCACGCCCCGGTCGTCAGTACTGTCGCTCCAACCGACGTACAACTCCAGAAACTGCTGCTTCTCCAAGCGCCAGACCTCGGTCACGTGCATGGCGTCGAAATCACTTTCCAGGGCCTCTTCGGTTGGAATGGACACCTGTGCAAGGAACAAAGGAAGCGGAAGTCGTGCGCGCGCACTCAGTGTACATGACCCAGCGTTCTTGAACAGTCGCGGCCGCGCGCGGCTCTGTACGTAGCTTTCAAAACATAGCCACCTGGTTGCCTGGCCGCCAAAATTGAACGGCGTAAGCTCTGGGTTCAACGGACAATCTTTACTTTGGCTATCTTCCATAGTTCTGACATACATTCACAGTCTGCTTTCTTTTAAGGGATCTCTGACTCAAAGTGCAATCCAGACAGAGCGGAACAGAAAATTCTGTCGAACAAACGTTCACATTGAGCGGGCGGTGCCAATCTATGTGGGAGGCATCAGCGTGATCGGAACGCGAAGAAGCAGTCTTGCAATACGCTTCAAGATCTTAGAACCTCCACACGTACGCTTCGCAAGAGATGCTTTTGTTCCCGTGAAAGAAGGATAGGACTATGCTTTTCCACCGAAAATCTCTGCGACCTGCCAAAAATAGTTACCAAACAGGACTCGGTCGAATAAAATTAAAGCGGGTTGGTCCACCCTTACAAAGGCCACTCCGTAACGAACACCCGGGCCTCCGTATTCGTTGCACTGGGGTAAAAGATTCGGAGTCTTCTCCTCCAACACCGGAGACCCGTCCGGCTTCTCCCTTTTCCTGTCCGTGTAGAGCAGAATCGGTACCTGTAAACCATTGATAAGGTTCCGAAAGATGGGATATCAGAATCCAATTCTTCAAACCTTGTTCAAAACAATAAAGAGACTAATTTGATTGAAGAGGTGTATAAAAAGGAGCTGGCGAAAGTTGATATACGGGGCAATTTATTTGGAAGTCCGATCCGAAGAAGAGCAGATTGCGGAACGTGCGTCACCATCTGACATCTGACATCGACCCGATATCGCTTCCCAGGTTAAAACACCCGAGTCGACTAATCTGGACAGCAAAGAGCACAAGGATCCGAGAAAGCCTAAGCAAATTCTTGAATCTGTGTCTTACCACTGCGGAGTGTTCGCTGCGGATGATTTTCATTCTTTCCATCCGTCCTTCCAGGGTCATTGGGGGAGGGGTACCGTCAACGCCCGGGAAGGCACCGGTGGCTGCAAGCGTGTCCCAATCCACAGCTTCTCTTGAAGTGGCAACTGGGTCGTCGAGTTCCTTCACAGACTCCAACTGCACAGGAAATTAAAGAAAAATATCACAGTTGATTCGTCACGAGTTTGTCAGATGTGAACAAAAGAAAGAGCAAGAACCTTTGATGGACTATATGCAGAACAGTCTGAAGTCTGTTGGGGGTGCTGGGGTACACTATACTCAAGCTGTACAAAGTCCGCCAAGTAAGGATCGGATGACGCAGACAGATGATGCCACAAGCGATAGGACGATGATGACCACTTACTACCCGCCTCGGGCGCAGATACTTCTGCAATTCCAAAAACCGCTCAATACGTGCGCCAACTCCGTTGTGTTGAATCGAAAAGTGCAACCTATCTGATACGCAGCACTTCCCCCTCCTTTGCCGCAGCGAAAAAGGGTTCTGGCGGAGCCCTCTTGTTGACTCCTCTTTCTTTCAGCTATCCGCGAAGGAGATTCTCAGCGGATTAAAGCTCGACACGTACCATCATTTCCAGGGTGTTTCGCAAATCGTGAGCCGCGTCCTCCACGTTCTGTTCGTACATTTCTCCCGTCCATAGGTAGCACAACATTCCATCGTTCCGCCACAGGTCTTCCGGCAGCTTCCGGCGGATCCTCGCCGCCAGCGGATCGCCCATCGCTCTAATAGTATCAAGGAGCGCTATCACGTGCTGGTGACAAGCAGGGGGGTCTGACGCCGCGTTCTGGATACATTCCGCTGAGTTCTTGAGCGGAATTAGCAGGCGAGCGGAAAGAGAGACGAAGGCGAGGGCGTGGGTCACGCGGCGCAGGGTGAGGTAGTCGTCGGGGAGGAAGAGACTGCTGACGTCAGCGGGGATCTGGAATGTCCTTGTTGTCTGCAAGGCAGGACCGATCGGTTCCAGTCATCTTTTCAGGTATATATCTTCGGGTACATCAATGAAGATTTTGCGCGCGAGCGCTGTACTGGACCGCAAGCAAATATACGAGGCCAATGCATCAAACGAGTGACAAAGGGGACGCATTTGGTGAAAAGTGAAGGCCACCCAATGTCGCAAAATGCGAAGTGACAAGTGTATTAGACAAGCCGCTGTTTTCGAAGATGACGAGAACCCGCTCAAATGTGGCACTGCCTAGGCACTTGAAAAGATTTTTGAGCGAAGCTTGAATGCGAATCTACTAACCCTATGCCAGGCGTAGCTGGTTAGGGCTCAAACGAACACACATCGCAAATCCCTGATCGAAGCGAGGATCACTTAAAACAAGAAACCCCTTGAACAAACACAGGCAGCTCGTTCAAATCCTCGCCAGAGTTGGTCAAAGGTTTGTTTGACGTACCTCTTGGCCCAAAAGCCTTGGAAGAGTCTCCCAGCTTTCAAGTTCAATCTCCTCTAGGACCAGATTCAGATCTTCCAGAGCGCGGTCCGCTATTTCCCAACTCGCCTAGCCAGGCCCGCCGTTTCGATGACCGACTCTTGCAGCGCCTCATTCACTGCCTTCTCATAAACACCCTTGAGCCCCTTAACTGCATCTGCTAACCCGCCTAGCTCCTGGACCCAGGTCACAAGGTTAGTAGCTGCTGACAACCGCTTGCGCTGCTCGTTAACCAGGGCCTTAACCCTCTGGATGGCTAAGGAGTCTCGCAACAGTTGCTGGCTATCATTATCATCATCATCGCTATCACCATCACTGTCATCATCAACCAAAATCTGAACAAGTGACAACAGGAATGGGACAGCGTCGAACTGGATCAAACCAGGCGGTGGCTCCAGCCTTGGCCGCACTCCTAGGCCTTCCATTATGCCCAGTCTCTGGAACCCCGGTCCTTCCTTAACACCGTGCGTTTCTTGATGCAAAGAAGCCTGCTCCGAGAACTAATCCACAGCACCGCCCGGCTGCTTTTCCTCAAGGTCAAGAAGGGTTTCTTCGCTTTGAGGTACGGCAAGAGAGCGCTAGCTTCCTGGTTGAACGCTGCGGCATGCAGGTTGCAGGAATGTGTGGTCACGTTCGCCAGTGCAGAAAGACGTCCTGCGAAAGGGCTTTGTTCAAATTCTGCAGGCACCTGTAAGGAGGGACGCATGCAAGGCGCGGCACATCGCGGCGGACGAGCGATCCGCGGCCGCCGCGCCCAGCGCCCAGCGCCCAGCGCCAGTACGCGAGGTTCAACTCAACTTGCACCCGCCGCGCCGCGCGGCGCCAACTTGGCGCGGCCGCGGACCGAGTGGGCGCGGCCGGGGCCCGAGCCTGGCCGCGTGGGCGCGGCCGCGCCGGCGTTCCCCCAACTTTTCAAGTTTGTGTACTTGTGCGCGCGCCACAAGGTAATCACTGAGAGCGAGCAGTGCGCGGCGCGGCCGCGCACTTGATGACTTGCGACCAAACGACGGGCGGAGCTCCGCTATTCGTACGGAACGTTTGGCAAAGCTCCAGTGACCAATCAAATCGACGACACGGTTACATAGTATGCCCGTTAACTTGCAAGTAGGAGTACGACGCTGATATTGAAGCAACATTTAGTTGCTCGGCAGAGAACTATTGTCCTGTTTATATCCTACAACTGTGTAATGGCGGCCAATTGATATCGTACAGCAAAAGGCGGGCAGCGCTCTTTCCGCCAATCTGCGGTGACAGAAAAGTTGCAGCCCGTGATCTATTTCCGGCAAGTTCTCATGAGCTTCATTACATATTGTCCAAACTCTAGCCGGGGAGTCAATTGAGCATCATGATTGGATGCTGCATGTGGCGGTAGACAGGCAGATCCGGCCTGCCAGTATGCGGCCGTGATGATAAGGTGTGAACTGAAACCGTATTTGAGTGTTGACGCAGTTGAAAAGAGAATTTTTGACAGTCTTGCTGCTCCTTGAACGGCGTCGTTTTTTAGCCTTCCGGCAGCTTCGTTCCATGGTTCAAAAGGAAGTCTCGCACAGAATGTACACTAGTAATTCTAGAACCTTGACTATTTTTACTTGATGTACACAAATATCAAACTCGTACTTTGTTCTGTTGCCTCTCAATCCATCCTACTCTTCTAGCTCATACAGATTCTCGTAACCCTCCACCACCTTTCTCTTCTTCCACTGCTCGCCCGACTTCCGTAGAGTCTGTTCACTCTCGGCCAGAACTCGACGGTTCCTACACAGAAGATTCTGGTTCGTCACGTCACCATATCCACTCCCGCAGCTGATCGTGACGTAATCACCGCAGCACACCTCCAAACTCTCGCCATCTTTCGCGCGATCACTAAACTCCAGCAGCTTCTCAAACGCAAACGGCCGGTTGTTCGTCTGGACGTAGCGAACGCACTCCACCGGGGGCTCCCCGTTTTTCCCCCGCTTCTCGTTGAACCGTCTCAGCCACATTTCCAAGCTCCCGGCACTTTCAGCGGATGCCGCGACGATGAGTGTGCCCAAGTAACGGGTTTCGAATTCTCTGTAGGAGGTTGCTAGAGTGCTCGTGACGTAAGAGGCGCCCAAACCGTGGGCAACTAGGTTGACGGGCTTAGCTGTGGGGGCGAACTGGAAAATGTCTCTCAGGATTACCTGCATATGCTCAGCAATCGCATATCAGGAATCTGAGGATCAGTGATTTTTCACCAATCAGCAGTGAGGTGCGACAGCTTTTATGTAAGACGCAGTACTGAAAATGCAAGTCTTTGCGGCAACGAAGATTGACGGTGGTTTGGTGGGCAAGCTTCATAGAACTGTCATCATGCAATTAATACCTGGCAGGCTGATTGGAAATCTGCGTCACTGACTGAAGATCGAATTCTATGAAACGACCATCTGAAATGTTTTCCACTCCACTCCTACATCTACCTTGAAGACGGTAGATAAACGACGTGGAAAAAGCGCTTCCTCAGCAGCAAGAAACGTAATACCAGTATTAAAAGGTACGGAGAATCGGTAGACTAATTGATTAGAACAACAAGGAACAGACCACCAGCACCCTTTCATCCTGTATTAGCGCTTTTGCCTGCGCTACTGTTTGGGCGCTGCAAACGCGCTTGTTTTTGACGGCATGAAGCCATACAAGATCAATTATATTTTGACGCATCAAGATAAGCTTAAGGATTTCGTCACCTTCAGGTTGTGGGAAAGACGCTGAACGCTCTCTTTGTCAGAAAACCAAGCCCCTAGCCCCAGGGAGCCCTCTGAAGGCCAGCCCACGATTACCCCCGGCCCACCCGAGCGGATTCCGCTCTGCAGGCAGCGGAAGTCGTCAATCAGTGGTGCTTCAAACCCAATAAATCTCTGCAAGCGCCTTTCCGTGGGCACCGAGTAGGAAAGGCCGCTGGATGTCTAAATATCGGCCGCCTTCGAAAAACTGAAAAGCAGAAGTTGCGCGGAGCCTCCACTTGATCGAGGCGGAATCCAGAATGAGAAAGTAAATGATGTGCTGGGCTGTACTTGAAAGGATTTTGGACTAAAGTGAGCTCGAACAATGTTTTGATCTTGCCGATATGACCCTTATGCCCAAGAGAAAGCCATGATCAGCTCGGCGTCTCAATTGAACTGCCGTAGCACTGGCCGCAAAGAATCGGGCTTTTTTTGCAACAGGTGTTTGCAAACAGCAGATCCAAGAACGTCGATGACATGCTGACCACAACGTGGACCATGCAGATCCACCGGCCTGAAGAGGAACAGCTGCACGAAGAATAGCCTCAGCAGGGCGAAACTGTAGTGCGTTTTGCAGAGACGAATCGTGAGTGGATTCGGAATTGATTCTAAGGAGGCTCCGTTTAGATTGTTTAGTACACATAAACCAACAAGAAACGGGACTCAGCAGAGGTTCGAATGAATGTTTGGCTGTTCTCGACTGAGCTTCGCAGAGTAACACGCATGACCAGGTCTAGGCACTTAGTTAATGTTTTGACCAAAACCTTGCTTCGTCATAACGTACGCACTCTGCAAGTAGGTTTCTGGGAGGCTCCGAGACCTGCCCAGAAACTGCAAAGTAGCTTGCTCACACGACCACTTCTTCTCCATGATTTACCAATGCCTAACAATATGTGATGGAATTCATGGGGCGTCACTTCAAACTCCAAAAGAGCGTAGAAGGCTCTTCTGATCAATCCCTTACCCCGGGCAAAACATTGCGCCCGGGTCGTCCATACCGGCGCTCCATGCTGAGTAAAGCTCCAGGAATTGCCGCTTCCGCAGCCGCCAGAACTCGGTAATGTGCATGGCGTCAGAGTCTTTCTTTAGCTTGCTCTCGTTCGGAATAGAGACCTGAAGAAGGAGGAGATTCTTTTCGCGGTTGCTACCGACACGGGATCTTGCCTAAAAAGTTCTTAATAGCCTCCCGTTCAAAGGCAGAGACTCTATATAGAAGCCCACTCAAACATTATCTGCAAGCGGCTTGAATTCAATTGGTTTACACAAGTCTCTTCAAAAAGCAATATGACCACAAGTTTTATCCTGTTTCGTCATTTCCACCTTCGCGGCCCTGATCAAGAATCTGGGCATGTTCCGATAATCAAGCTGACTGCCCATATAGGCGGATTTGCATGTATTTTCGGAAACTCACTGCACGAGGAGCCGTTTCAACGTGCCGGCAATCGTTTCGCAAACGTCAAGCTTCTCAAACCTACGACCAATCAGAAGCGGCCAAGATAATCTTAATTCAGGCCACCGAGAGAAAGAGCGGAAAGAGCCTTTTCTCACGATCGCTTCATCGGCAGATGAACGTTGTCCTTTCTACGTCCAGGTCCAAACCCACAAGAAGCTTTGCCTTTGTTGATGCATTTAAAATCGAGGGCACTTTAGTGGGCTTAAATTCCGTTCGCCTAAGAAGCTCGACTTATCCAAGACTGAATCGCCCCTGCGCTGCAGTTTGATATGGAAGCGTGCGCTTACGAATGCTACTCCGAAGTCGGTATCGATACTCCCCAGTCCGCATGCCTGCGGAACGAGCGTCGGTTCCTCCCCCCAAGGTGTCTCTCCCTTGAGGTCGTGTTCTTCGCTCCAGCCGCGGTCGCTGGCCAGCAGTACCGGGACCTGAAAACACGCAATTTCTGTTCTTTTTCTGTCGCTGAGATTGTCTTGAACTTCCGGTCCTGAATAAAGCTTGACTTTTAGTGCCTTTAACGAAACGGGATGGGCTCCCTCCTTGTGAACAGTTGGCAATCGATCCTTCACGTCCCACCTTCAAATGGGCTTCGGGACGGAAGTCCGCCCAGGGTGGCTTGTCTTGTTTATCCCTATAAGGAATTGGACCCTTCGGTATAAAGACAACTGCGATTTATCAGCTGCTCAGAATTGAGTTGAAGAATGGCTTGCGCTGAACAGCTCAGGCCACCACTTCGAATCTTCTGCAAGGACTTGCTGATCGATACACGTAGGAAGTGCCGTTAAGCTACGTCTGAGTGAGAAAGCCTAAGATGGTCAGTCTTACTACACCCGGCGGACTTGGCTAATCTTTTTATATCAACAAATCATGCCTGTGTTTGCGCGCCGACTGGTCAACCTTCAAACTCGTCGTTTTTGAACCATCAATTAGCGAACGGAACGGACTACGGAAGAATGAACCATCAGTCATCTTTCGACTTACCTTTTTTGCCGTAGGAGCCTGGGCTTTGCTTTTAGGTCGGATTTCGGGACAAGAAACTCCCGCCCATTTTACACAGCGTCTTGTAAGGAGCAGTCTATAGGGTTAGATTCATACCACATCGTAGGATTTTCCACGGACGACCTTCGTTCTGTTCAATTGTTTCCTCGAGAGTTGGTGGAGCGGCTGTGATCTGGACCCCTGAAAAGGCACCGGTAGCGGCGAGCACGTCCCACTCAGTTGCGTCTCTTGAATTGCCGATTGGTTCGTCCACTTTTGCAACACATTCGAGCTGAAAAGGAAAGCAGAAACAAACTTGATACTTCACCTCGTCTTATTAAAGACCAATGGTTCCTAATTGTATGGAATACAATCCACCAATCGTTTGCGAAGTGGGCAAAGAGCCCGCGTTCTTTTCGTAAGTTTACCAGCAGTTGGGCATACTCGGACTAGCAGAGATCGCGCCAAAGAGTGATTCAACAATATTGATCTTTCTGAGACGTTTCCTTGGTTCGCCAGATTTCCAACGCTCCTTCAAGGATCCGACGTCTGCAGAACTAGAGATATGAAGAGAGGCACTTGAGGGAAAAGATCGAAGAGCTTGGAACGTTAGCAAAGCATTCGGCGGGCAATGGAAGCCGACTTCAGGGCGCTGCTCAGATCTTCTTTCGGCAGAACGGAGGCCGTCAAATTTAAATTTGAAACGTCTTTTCTATACACGTCTGCGATCCAACCCTTACCATCATGTCCACAGTGCATTTTAGATCGTGAGCCGCAGCCACCATGTTCTCCCCATACTCGTTCTCGGTGAATAAGAAGCACGCGCCGTCGTCGTTCTTGTGCAGATCTCCTGGCAAGTTGTACCGAAGTCTGGCTGCTAGCGGTCCGCCCATCGCTTCGATGTCGCGTAGAAGGGTCAATACACTTTCGTGACACTCTTGCGGATTCGACGCTGCCTTTTCGATACCTTCTACCGTTTCCTTGATTGATTTAAGAATAGAAGCGGAGAGGGAGACGAAAGCGAGTGAGTGGGTTACGCGTCTTAGGGTCAGGAAGTCATCGGTGAGAAAGAGACGGCTGACGTCTGCCGGGATCATTATGCCTTTCTCCTGCAAGACCCAGGAAAGTGCGTTAATTTCGCTGGTTAGCAAAGCCGTTCAATCATGGGCTAAGTATACCCTATATTACTTTCGCCCTTAAGCGGAGGCGAAACAGAGGCTATAACGTAAAAAGTCATGTTGGAAATGAAGCATAGTTCTGTAGCGTCGACTTATGAATAATGAGGGTGCTGATTGTTTTACCAGTAGGAGGCTCCGCTCACCCAGGGAAGCCGCTGCTTAAGATGGAAAAATCGGTGACAAACAAGCATTGAACCAGTCAGGAGACCAGAAAAACATTCAACAGCTCACAATCTCAGTCCTCAGGGCCAGGCACCACTAGAACAGAATGGTACGTACCTTGTCATTGAGCAGCTGACTCAAGCCTGGACCCATGGGCACCTCAGGCAGGACCTGAATCTCGGCCAGCAATGTGTGTTCGTCCCAAACGGCCAGATACGATTCTACCATTTCCCTGTAGTTCGGGGCTGAAATTGCGCGGCGGCCTAGCGGCGTAACCGCGTCTCTCAAACCCACGTTAACTGCCTCTTCGAACACCCCTCCGCGCTCCTTAACCACCTCCGCTAACCAGCCCAGCTCCTGGACCCAGGTTACGAGGTCCTCGGTTTCCGCTAATAGCCTGCGCTGCTCGCTAACCAGGGTTTTGAGCAGCTGGAAGGAGGCGTGTTCTCTGAGGAGGAGACCTCTGTCTTTACTCAAACTCTCGCCTAAACTTGTCATGAAATACGTCAGGAAAAGCGCGCCCTCCCACCGAACTAGACCGGGCGGAGGTTCGAGTCTTGGCCGCGCTGTTGGCTCTCGTGACTTTGCCGAACACCTCATAGTCTGGATTCATTTTCCAGGAATATCGGATGATGATCTGCTGGAGACTCTGCTAACAAAGAAGCGCAGTTTGGATCCTGAAAGGAGAAAAGCCTGGCCATTCAGAGCAGCGCGGCTCAGGCAACGGCTTCCGCGCTGCTCTCTCAATCGGAGTCTAGCTTCAAAGCGCCTACTACCTTCAAGGTAACCTTGATAGAGCAGGGTTTGTTGGCTTTGTTCACAATCTGCAGGATATTTCGATGCAGATGCTCCTGTCAGCAGGAACGAAGCATTGGTGGAGAGGAAGGACCTGGTGCACACAGTAGCCATGGCGACCGTTCCTCTCAAGGCTGCGTGACGTAGCTCTGTCTCTGCGTCTGGCGCTGCTATTCAATGAGATGATATCGGATCGCCAGCGCGGCCGCACGCGGTCTAACGGCTTAGGCTAGCTGTTGTCGTGGCCGCGCCTCGGCAGCGCCACACGCAAGACTCGGGGGTTTAAGCGGCGAATTGAGTAGGCCCGGCCGCGGGAGTCCGGGCCGCGCTCCTCTAGGCGGCCGCCGCTTGGCGGGCCGGGCCGCCCGGCAACGCAACGCGCGGCTGTCGTGCCCGCCCTCGCGCCCGGCCATTTAAGTACAACAGCAGATTGAACGCTTGGGTTGAACATGCAAATGGCTACTGGGGTTTCGTTCTTATATTTGATCTGCAGGCCGGCCGCCTCCGTGCCAGCTCGTAACACGCTTCGGACATTTCCGGAGCTGACAGTCTTAACAGCATGAAACGGGCCCCAAGTGTGATCCGGTCCGATCAGGGTGCCAAGCAGGCGATCAACGTGCAGCAAGAAGGCTTCGACGCGTCTGAATGCTATGCGACGTATTCCATTTTACCGCTAAGCGGCTCCCATTTTCAATCTCATTTCCTTTGAAAGCTAGTTAAATCGGCGTTATAGATGTCAATTCTTGAAAACGACGACAGTACGCGTGCGCATCAGGCTCCCATGCAAACGTACAGTCGGAATGCTTTAAGAGTCGAGCGATCATCGGAACATGGCAGTGCAGAAACCTCAATGATGGACGTCACGAAAGAGCTAGAGCTTATCATTGCATACTGAAAGCATTTGCACCCGGCCGGGCTAGCTGCTGGCACAGCAGCATGCAGACGGCACTGATCGCCGCCGTGGTGGCGGCGGCCATGTGTATCAAATATGGTATATAGGCACTCTGCGGCCCGCACGTTGAGAGCCGCCATAACTGCGTAGAGCGATAGGCGCTACAGCGCTCGTACTAGATTGTAGCTGGCTATATAGTATGAGTAATCGTATTAACATAATTACGGATGTATAACAATCGGCGAACACGCTTTCAAGTTTCTGTTCAGGCTGACTCGTATACACTCTGCATGCCTGAAATACATGCAGTTTGAACGTTGATCCTGAGTCTCTGAATAACGAAAGCGGCGCAACGAGTGACGGTGATTGTTACAAGTCCTTAATTACGATCGTTTCCACAGCGCCTCTAGAGTTTGTACGGTGCGTTTGGGAGCTCTCCCGTTCGACACCACTCTAGACGGCTTGCCTTGACCCGAAGTAACTCCCTTTGTAACCCCTGTTCGACTTCCTACTTCCTTGAACAACTTCCCAATCTTCTCCTCCTCTTTCTGGAGTTTCATTGCAACGTGAAAGTCGACATGCTCGCGACGTGCACTCGGCTCAGCCGGGAGCGATTCTCCGCACACTGAACACTTTTCACCAGCTTTGACTGCTAAACTCTTTTGATTCGAGGTCCCATAGTTTACGCTCGTCGACGCCTCAACGAGAGTATTGCCACTGGGATGGCGTGCCTGATCGACCTGCTTTGAAGTTGCCGTGAGACTTTTTGCTTTGTCAGGACTCAACGGGACAGGGCTGATCGTCGCGAACGATGAACCGTGTCTAGACGGATACGGGTTCCCCTTTTCGAGACCCTTCGCTTCAATGCTTGCTGCTTCGTAGTCAACTGCTTCTGACTGCTCCTCATCGTTCGCTCCGTTCGCTTCCCTGAAGGTGTTCCGATCCGAGCCGAGCAACCCGCCGTCAGCTCTCAATCCGGCTGGATGGCTCCGCTTCACCTCGTTCTGTTGCACCAGCCCCAGCGCAAATCCGTTTGTAAGCTGCGGCGCATGTGAAGCGCTCTCTCCGTTTCTCCCTTGAACGGACGGACCCCCACTGACCGACCGTGGGTCGGCCCGCAAACCTCGCTTTTCCAATCTTACTGACTGTAGATCTTCCCACAGATCCTCTCTCTCATCGCTCTCTTCTCCAGCCTCTAAGTCAAACCCCCGGCCAGGAACCCTTCCCCCCCGGTCGCCGAAGCGCCCTTCTTCCAGATCCCACGCAGACACAAACCGGTCGTCAAGTTCTTCCCCCGGGCTGGCTAGCCCACCCGGGTTAGCGAACCAAGGCGCTTTCGCCTCCGCATGCCCGTTCCCAAGCACAGGCTTCACGCCTTCCGCCGCCTCTCTAGTTGCTCTCGCTTCCCGCTTACTGCCGACGTTTGCATGCAGCACGGAACCCGCATAGGCCCCCGAAACCCTCGGACTTTTCACCCCATACGGGCTGCTTAGAAGGGCGGTTGCCCCGACGTCCAAATCCTCCCTTAGCAGCTTTTCCGTCGTTCCGAACGAGTTCTTGTCTGCCGCTAAACCATTGCCGAAGCTTCCGGCTCCGCCTGATTCCGGCGGTATCACTCCGCTGCCGTTCTCCCCCTCGTCTTCCGGCATTGATGCGGAACCACCCGCTGTGTTGTTTATTTCGACTCCGCTACTCAAAGCAACCTCAGGCTCCTGATTGGTCACTCCTCCCAACTGGAGTCCGTCCGCTTCCAGTTTGGTTTGCAACAACGGAACCCCGTTCCGTCCCGTTTCGCTTCCGTTTTGCCTCATACCCCCAACAGCTTCCCCCACTTTTGTCCCAGTCGCTGCATCCCCTCTGCTGGCTTCCTCGCCTCCTCCTCTGCCCCCTTCGAGCAGGTAATCTTTCCGTACCGCTCCAGTTCCGCTCCGCTCCTTCCTGGCCCACGCGCTCAACAACGAGGGCGTCCCCTTCGCCGCTTCTTCCACGAAGTTGGTCGCCCCGACGTTCAGCTTCACCAGGTGAAACTTCTTCCCGGCAAACGCTTTCGAGAGAAGCGACATCGCCGATCGAATGAGCGCTTCTTCCCGCCGCGCTTTTGGGAGGCTCGTCGCGACGATGTCAAGGGGCATAGGACCCGAGGTCGACTGGCCCCTGCAAGAGTTTGACACAAAGTTTTGGCAAGCTTTGACGTGATTTGAGCTGCTAAGCTTGGGGGCCTCAAAAGTAGTTTGCCGCATTTAACAGACGACTTACTCGGAACGAGGTCGCGGCAGGAGATGGTCAAGAACCACGACGGGCCAGATGATATACTTACGTGACAAAGTCTCTTTTGAGAAGTCTCTTTTGATTGGCTCACAAGACGATCAAGGACGGGGTACATGTCATACTTTCTCTTAGAGACCCAAACTTAACTCGCCCGCGGTCCTCTTAGCGCGGCGAACCTACTGCTGAGCAGATGGAAGTCATGCCATATCCCTGCTAATCAGGAGACATAATTTGCTTCTGGTGATGGGCAAAGGCTGAAAACTCACTGATAGCTGGCTCCCTTTTGGCGCCACTTGACGGTCAGCGTCTTGGGCCGCCTCCCCGTATCGTCCCGCTCCTCGTCCAGGCGTTCGATGTAGTCGGGGGCGAGGGCCTTCACAATACCCTGCACAAGGATGGGGGCTGACGCTTAGTGGTGTCTTGATTTCTGAGCTTTGTGATTGCTCGGGTCTTCAAAAACAAAGGCGACTGTGTGCCTGTTCCGACAAGAGTCCCGCAAAGGTAAGGAGACCGTCAAATGATTTCTTTGAGTTTTGGGGTCTCTAAGCGCTGCGTTGCGACGTAGATAGAAGGTGACGTTTTGTTTTTTGAGCCTTCTGAACGCCGAATTCTTCCCGTAAGGAATCCATCATGTGCTTCTTCCACAAAGAGTTCCCGAAGGAGGGGAGCGCGTCAACCACTTTCTCTTAGGTTTGGGTCTCTTCAGGCTGCAATTTGACGTAGTTAAGAGCGAAAGCCTTAAGATCCCCGTACACGGCAGGAAAAACACCCTCAGGGACAGGTGTAATTTGCTCCAAGCTGGAACCTCTAGAGAGCAGTAAGGTGGTCCATGCCATTACGTTAATCACCCACCTCAACCTTTAGCATCAGAAGATATGCCAGCGAAGAGTTGCTTCGAGTCTCTTGCCTGCTCAAGTCTGTACTTTCTGCTGACAGCTGGCCTCACCTCCGCTTGCTTCAGGTTCAGGCACGCCCGGAACGAGTCCTCCACCGACAGCGATTTGGGCGGGCCCTTATCTTCCACCGGGCTCGTGTCGTTCCCCCGGCAGCAATGGTAAATCATGCTCCCCACGCGCGCGCCAAACTTGTCTTCCAGTTCGGAGAGCGCGAGCTTTTGCAGGTCGCCGATGGTGTCGACCTTCATCTCGCGTAGTTTGGCGTCGTAGCTCCAGCCGATGCCTGGGATCTGAAAAGGCGGATTGAGAGAGGGTTAGGGAGGGGTTAGCGGAGGGTTTGAGATATTGGGAAAGATTGGAAGGTCACTGATCACGTCGACCTTCATCTCAATCAGCTTGGCGTCGTAGCTCCAGCCGATGCCCGGGATCTAACGGGACGATTTGAGGAGAGTTAGAAAAGGCTTAGAAGACGGTTTGAAACAGTTGAAAAAGGTCAGAGGTCGCTACTACTAGGTTTCACGCACTTCCATGCCGTAGCTCCAACTGGTACCCGGTATCTAACAGTTGCAGAGGGTCAGGAAAGCGTCTGAGGAGACTTTGAGAGCTTTGTTAAAGTGTGGAAGAACGCTGATCATATATTGACTTTTCAGATTCGCAGATTTTGGCGTCGTAGCTCCAGCCGATGCGGGCAAATGATATGGGTTTTAGATCGAGAAGGAAGAGTTGATAGTAAAGGGATAGTGTCAAGCAAGGGTCAGCAGTCAATCTTCCTTCCAATGAGATCAGATGCCAGACACTTGTGCAAGGGGTTTAGGTAGAAAAAAGTACGTAAGGCAAAAGCAAACCTTTGAGAAGGATCCAAATCTGCAACCCTACCTTCTTTATTAGCACAAGCTAGACTCCTTAGTGAACCCAAAAACTAACTACCAAAGTCAAACAGGCGCAAAGGATTGCGAACACGTTCAGACTCTCACCTTTCTGGCCGCCAGGTTTTGAATGTGATCCGCCACCGCCCCCGCCAGCATCGTCGTCTGCCCGTTCGGCTTGTTCATCGGGCTCGCCAGCTTCGCGAGCATCTTATTATGCGCGACTCCCGCGGAACAGCGGCACCCGACCTCCGCCCAGACTGCCTCCCGCACCTCTACTGCCACGTGGCTGCCCACCAGCAGCAGCCAATCGGAGCCCGCCACGTCAGCACCAAAGTCCAGCTTTTCGGTCGTCTTCAGGACGCCCTCCGGAGCTGGCACCTGGAACCGCACTTGACGGACGTCCGACCAGTGCCCGGGAAGCTTCCCCCCGGCGGTTTTGCCGGCGGAGATGTGCCCGGGTGAGGGCGTCCCGGTTGGTAACCCCGGATCGGCCTCGTTCCTCCAGTCCAACCAGCTTGGAGTTTTCGTTCCGAAACCGGCTTCCGGCTCCGATCGCGCCTTCTTTCTCGGGGGCCCGGTTTCGGTTGGTATGTTCCCTGGGCTTCTTTCTTGTGGTTTCAGGACGCTGCCGAACGCTTCTGCCAGCGAGCCGTATTGCGATCGACCGGGCGGAGTTACTGGGCGGTTAAGGGGAGGGTCAGAGGAGTCGTTTGCAAACCCAGGGCTGAGGGACGGACGCTGCACAGAATGGCACTGTGAAGCTTCGTGAAATGAGCTTCTTGGGTTGAAGGTTCCAGATTCGATGTTCTCTGGGTTGAAGGCTTGAGAAGTTGGGATTGAAGGAGCAAGGGCGGCTCCAGATTGAGAGGTTGGCAGAATTGGCGGTCCTGCGGGGAGCAAAGAAGACTCTGGGTTGTTTGGGTCTGCGGTTTCAGGGGAAGGGGCTCTCATCGGTTGCGCTCCTTCTAACAGAAGCCCATCGACGCCCATGATGACGTCAGCGTTCCCCCGTTCGCGAGCTTCCGGCCGCATCAGCGGCCACCATCCAGGCGGGACGAACCGCTTCGTTAGTTCGACACGGTCGTTCCTCTCGCCAGAACTCCTGCCGTTCTCTGCGAACGCAACTTCCGCTTCCTTTTCTGGCTCTTCCAACGCCACCTCTCTCTCCCCATCCTGCCTTGCTTCAATGTGAGTCAACCCATCCCCCCGGCCACCCCCCTCCGTAGGCCCAATCGGGGACCCCCCTTCCCTGGCGGTTCGGTCGTTCTCTAAATCCGAACCAATATTTTGTGCCCGTCCACTGAAGGTCACCGAAGCTGACGCCTCCGGTTTCGCCGCAGGAACAGAACGGAGGCCGGGCTCTCCCCTTGGTGTCGCTTGAGAATTGGTCGGCGGATCAAGTCTGACTAACCCCGTGCCAGAGACCGGATTCTCGGTGGGCCCCGCCAGAACTTTGCCAACGAAGCCGCGATAGAGCGGGTTCGGGCCCGCTGCGAGACTCAGCCGTTTCCGCACCTCTGCGAAAAGGTGCGAAGCTCGATCAAGTTCTCGGATGTTTCCACTCTGAAGTTGGATGAGATCAACGTGTCCAAACCATTGCCAATTCGTGCGAAACCGACGCAGACTCCCGGTGTAACAAACAGGAGTCTTACTTGGGAAACCCAAGCAAGCGGCGCAACTAGAACCAGGTTTAGACTTCGCTGGCAATACCTGAACATCCTGACTCAATTCACATCTCCATTCTGACCGGCGAAGTATGACCTGTTCTAAATGATTCAAATGAAAAAGCCGACCTTGGTCCCTACAGCTATGCTGCTTGCGCCAAAGCTGTCTTGCAGAACTCGGAAGCTCAAACCCCGAATCGATTGTGAAGACCACGAGTACGAGCAGCTGCCAATCGGAAGGCTCGAAGACGTACAAAAACTCACGCCAAGGGAGCATAGGCACTCCCAGTGCAGTCGACAAAAACCTGCCCTTTCTGTCAAGTTCGCAGCGCAGGCGTCGCCACAGATTTCTGAAAAGAGATAGGGAAAAGCAGCGCACCTTCTGTCACGTCTAGATACGCCTCGTCCATCCCGCGCCGCTCCACGACGCCAAAGCGGCGCATCACCTCCAGTATCCGCTTGCTGACTGCGCGGTAGGGGGTCAGGTCCTCGCCGTTGACGAGAACTAGATCGGGGCAGACGCGCAGCGCGTCCTCCTTGGGGCACATCTTGGCCACCCCTGAAGTAAGGTACCTCGCTGGTTTAAAGATGTTCTCCACTTTCTGTTTAAAAGTGTAGCGAAAGAAAGCACAAGAACCTGTTGCAGTAGTCAATGTACTTATTGCCTCTTCAGAGCATTTTCTGGCCAATTCTGGGTAATCAGAACGACTATTCTTTGGGAACATTCGTTGGATACAGCCGTCTTTGCTTCTTCAAAAAGGCTCCTCCCTGAAGGAAAAGTATCTGTCTGAATCAACTAAGTGTGCCTTCTGCCAGGCTCTTGTGGTCTTTGACTCCAGTCGGCAACTTTACTTTCAGGTTCTTGAAAAAAGTGTAGCCGCGTGGCGTCGCAACGTACGTGACATGGCAACCTAGCAATGCCATGCTGAGCAGCCCCCAAAACAGTTGGCTCGAGTTGCTTGTATTTCCTTGCAGAAAGTTTGAAACGTCTTCCAAACAGAAACTTGCTCTTTCAAAACCAACCTTTATGCATAGAGCCCACCATTATGCAGTTGACATAAAGGATACCCTTTGAAGGGCACAAAGGTAAGATTAAAGAACAAGGGTTGAATCGCACTGCTAAATGAAGGATATGACAGAGTTGTGAAAAGCAAAGGAACAAACAGAAGGAGGACATCTGTCGCTCACCAGCGGCGCGAGCGGGGTAGTTGCATGTCACTACCAGGAACTTCTGGTAGATCCCCAGAGGGCGCCCCTTGAGCTCCGGTCGCCGCGACTCCTCCACTTGAGCTGCAGGAAAAAGCAGAGTGTCTCTTTCCAGCAATGTTCCATTTCCTACGCTTATACCCCTCTTCGCTGCCCCTTAGCTCTTGTCTTGTCCACCCAGAAAAAGCAGTATCTACTGTAGCATCATAAGCTAGACACAGTACCGGTGCTTTCATGCTTCCATAGGATGCCTCCTGACCAATCGCTCATCGTTGGTTGAGGCGTAAAGAGGTCCTTGAGTTGCTGTAAAAACTAAACTTTCTTTTTTGCTCACATAAGGACTGGACTTGATATCTCATGCAGATCACTTTTAGAGTGATCATTGACCACCACGCTTGATTCATTTCCCGCTGTTCTATTCACATACAGACCTGACGGACTTTCTGGATTCCTCTTATCTTCACTTCAACTTCCTTTCGACCAGCAACATTCTTGAAGGGATTTGTTGATGCTTTTCAAGGCAAAGCGCTGGCTGCGGCACTGGCGTAAAAGGGCTGCCAAACCCAATCCAGCTGAATATCAGAGGCATCTTAGGAACGACACGTCAATGGAAATTGACCTCTTAAATGAGAGATCTAAGCAAGTTTATGAATTTTTAAGTGTTCCACAGCATTCTATGCAAGTCACCAGCGTGACTGCAGACTCACCATAGAAGCAGTCAACATCAATGTGCAGAATCACACGCTCCGCTCGTGCTGCGTCCATCTTGGCAGCAGGACCTCTGTCCTAGACCCTCACAATACTCCGCTGAAGCGCGCACTAAGCAAATATCTTGTTAAAGGCAGATAGAGAAGAGCGCCGCCACTGGGAATCTCCACAGTCCTCCTATTGTAGCTATCCATCACCTTAATCATAAGCAACAGCTGGTGCGGATGCTCCTGCCCACTGTGCACTTTTTGACGCAGAAGCGCCCAATCTTTTTACTAAGTTGCAAGTGCTGCCATATTAATCAGCATGCCCACCGCGACCAAGCCCACACAGACAAGGAGCTTACGTCCACCACAGCGATGGGAAGCGCCCCTTCCTCTGCCGTGGTGACCGTGAAGTTGGTGTTCTGATCAATGTCAAACCTGTTCACCTCAAGTTGAGAGGGTTTACTACTTCGTCAATGTGCTGACCCGCTTTCCAACCGTGACGTTGTGGCCGTGACACAAGAAACCGGTTTTGAGATTCTGGTCTGAAGGAGCCTACCTGAAGGCCGGCTCTCCTTACTACGCTGACGGTTTTCCAATCCTTATTACAGATAACCCTCTCGCTTGCATGCAAACCCGCAACCTTCTTACCTTGCAGTACTCTGTAGCTAGCTGCTAGCTGCTAGCTGTGCAAGCTGAGCCGCAGTCCTGAGGTCTTTCGTTCTTGACTCTCTGATTCAAGAATCAGAACAGCATATCATGGGGGGTTTGCCCAAACATTGAGCTTCAACGTCCGTCTGTCTATCTGATCAGAGCGGGCCGCTCTCTGCAACAGCTGGACATTGTCTGCAACAGGTGGACATTTCTCCCAGTATCCAAGAAGAGTTGTGTGTAGCCGATTGTTGCAGACTGCCGCTGTCGTCATGGAGGCTTGAAAGCAAGAGCGGCCGCAACAGTGTGAGCAGCCTGAAAAGTGCCACTTTGGATCCTAGCTTCTGCAAGCCAATGTAGAGTTCTGGAGAAGGAGGGCAATGGCTGAAAGCACCCGCACTTCTGCTAAAGAGAAATCAGATAGTGGGGCAGAGAAGGCATCAAAAAGGAATATGCAACCAGGAGATGCGCAAGCTGATCTGAGGGCGGTTCTAGTTCCAGCGAAGTCGGCGGCGGCGACTGCTGAGAAACTAATTCTGAACTTCAGCAGGAGTCGGAAGTAGTGCAGGCATGTCTTGAAAGGAGGATATCTTGGCTGGAAGATGAGCTGGTCGAAACAAAGGCCAATGAAGCTGCCGCCAAACAAGCGGAGGCATCTCTGCTTGCTGCTGTCAGCAAGGGGAAGGAAGACTGTGCTCAGGCGGAGGCGCGTAAAGAGGAGGCAGAAACGAGACTGTTTCAGCGGGAACAGAACCTAGCAAAGTCGGAGGCTCTGAGGGCGCAGGCAAAAATAAGATGGCTGCAGCAAGGTAGTAAGCTAATAGTAGCGAAGGAGGATTTGGAGTTGGCTAGAAAAAAGGTTTTGGAACTGAAGCAGGGACATTTGGACGTTTCCCAGTGATTGAGAGGCGCAAAGGAAGATTGCGCAGAAGCGAATGTGGGATTTGCAGCTGCCCAAAAGAGAGTGGCAGAAGTGACAAGAGAAGCTTCTGAGTTGCTCAAGTCTTTGAGAGTGTCAAGAGAAGAGTGCAAGGCAACTAGTATGAAGGCTGCAGCAAGCGAGCAAAGGGCCCTGGATGCAGAGAGTCGGCTGGCTGGCCTTGAAAAAGAGATACGGCAGAACACAGAAAGACTGCGTTCACAAGGTACAGAATCGCCTGGCGCTCTGGTTAGCGGATCTGAGGGTGATGAGGCGAGAATGTCGCATCTGGAGAAAGCGCGGTCCTGCTTGCTCTCACTGAACTGGAAGTGCGGGGAGGACGGGTCAACGGCGTTTGAGCATGTAAGAACTCCTCCTTTGGTTGCTTCTTTATCGCGATCCTGACCTGAAACTTTGTTACCATCGCATCAGAAACAGCAGCTTTGGGTGGTGTCATTGTTCCTGGCTGCGAGCTACGAGTTTTAAAAGGAAGTGGCATCAAAAGCGAGACGTTTCAGGATACTTTGCAATCGAAGATGCATCAAGGCTGATTAAAAATCAAAAATCAAAGAGCGACAGCAGAAAGAAGTATGCCGTCGTCAACGGGCCCCCGCAGGCTGATTGTCTCTGCAAGGGTTTGACAGTGGCGTTCTGAGTAGACTGCTCCCGAAGACTTCTTGTTTTGTAGTCCAGATAGCTCACGCTTTCGAGTCCAACTCGTGAAAATATTAACTGCTGCAATATCCTGATGGAGAGTCGACACAGTGCAACTTTAATTCGCTGAAATCTGGACATCCTGTACGTAGTGTCTGGTTCACTGGCAGCTCAATCTGTCTGTGTTTCGTCGACCCGTTTGCATTGCAAAGATTTCGCTTACAGAAGGATGGCCTTTCTTGTTTTCTAGGACCTTGCGCAATTGCTTGCCAGGGATCGCGACGAAAGCGAACGGGTATGCTCTGGGCCCATGGCGCGGCAGAAGGAATGGAAAGAGGGGCTGTGGAGGCGGAGGGCCGAGGGGGTGCGCATTCGGAAGCCCTATTCAGAGCGGAGCGGAAAGTGAACGAACTTGAGGGGGAGCGAATTAGGGCGGAGCAGAAATCGGCCGAGCTTGAGAAAGAGCGAGCCAGGGCGGAAGAAAGATCCTTTGCATCCGAGAAAGGCCGAATGGGAGCGGAAGAAAAAGTGGCCGAACTCGAGAGGGAGCGAAATGAAGCGAATGAGAGGTTTGCCGAGCTCGAGGGGAAGCGAATTAGAGCGGAGGAAACTATCGCTGAGTTCGAGAGAGAGCGGACTAGAACGGGGGAGGAAATGGCCGAGCTCGAGAAAGGCCAAACGAAAGCGGAGCGCAAAATTGCTAAGCTCGAGAGGAGACTGAGAAAGCAGTCGGCGAGCTTGAAGAAGAGCGAAGCAGAACGGACGAATTATTTGCCAAGCCGGATAGGGAGCGGGAATCGAAAGCAAGGCGTCTCACTTAGCTGGAAATTTTCTTCGGATAAGTGGTGCTTCCCAAAGAAGAGGTCCTGCACCAAGCAAACGGAACCACGAAAGGAGAGGAGGCGTCTTTGCTAACTTGAAATTGCAGTAGGCGTTTTACGACGGGCTTGCTCCCGTGTCAACAGACATGCCCGCTCGAAGATTCTGGTCTTCGAGTGAAGCTCTAGATCGATGCAATCCGGGTTTGAGTTCTTTGGCAGCCTTAGCCAATACCCGCCAGCCATATCACAAAGTAGCCTAGCGCCTTGGAGCTTTTCGGAATTTTCTCGAGAATGGTGGGAAAAGGACCTGGAACTTGTAGGTTCCTAGTGTCGGTAGCCCAAAATTGGCGCGAAGTTGCTTGGACATAACTGCCCTTTGTACTGAAGGTCCGTGACAACACAAGCATAGTACACCCATGCACGTTATGTATACCTGAGAATACATAATCAAGCCTTACTTAATCAAGATTTGGATCTGCCTTTGTTGAAATTGAAGGCTGATCGGATGGCTGCCCGGCCGTGTCTAGGCACCACATACGGGACTGTATTGTAAGGGCCGGGCCGTTTCTATACGTACCAATCCGCAACCATGCAGGAGCTCATTCATGCATGACGGCGCCGGTGTGATCAAGAAGCATGCAGCTAGACATCCATGACTTTGCTTAAAGCGAATTCGGCCTGAGGTTCATGCGTTTCGAAGCACGGGAGAACTATATGGGTTCCGAATTTCCAGCGCTATCGGTCGAATTGTAGAGCTAGCACAATCATTGATAAAACCATTCCTAGCCTGCAAATTAAAAGGCATGGGGCCGGCTTGCGCTTTTCAAAAGGAAAGACCATGATTGAAGCGTAACAAACACTGAACGACTGTTCATAAATTGCATTGCACGCAGACTTACGAGCAATTGGACTCCGTGAGGTCATTTCGAGGTGTTCAAATACTTCTTATAATTACATGTTATTCGACAAGTCCAGGTGCCATGGCATCTTCTTCACGTTCACCTGAACTCCTGGACAACTTCCTCAATGTCCTAAACGGTGCTCGATAGAATGACTGTCGATCTGGTTAAAACCAATCACTCTTCCACCATGTGCGTCCCCTTCTCCATCTTGACCGACTCTTACGTCTCATATCATGGTCCTGGAGATAGGCAATAATGAACAAAATTCACTTTCTTGTCAGTGTTTTCGTGACTTCTTAAGCTGGCGGATATAATCGAGTTGAATTGGGAACACCGTCTCTTTTGAGAAAGAGTCACAGGGGATGACAAAAGAGGTTTTCTAGACACAAGCCGGAACATAAAGACAAATTCCGACTTAGTCTTCATTGTCATGATGCTTTCTAAAGAAGCTGCTCTTGCGCACCACTTACAAGTAACTTTGTACAAGAAGGACATGACCCTTACACCACTCTCTTTACTCAACTGAACAGCCCACAACCGGATACGTGGGGCGAAGAAAACGAAGTTGGACAAATTCAACTCCAGGCTAGAACGGATTCTTTGGTGTGTCCTTTTGAAAGAGTCCAGGCCAGGTCTTTGAAACCAACAGAAAGGCATGCGCACACGACGAGAATGTAATCAAGAAACAGATTAAAGATGGACAAACGAGGGTGCGTAGAAGACGTTACCTCTTCCGTTTTCTCCGCGTGAGGCTGTCGGTCTCCACCATATCAACCGGCAAGGCGCCCGCTTCTGGGGCCTACGGCTGGTCGCCCAAAATCCAGTTCCCTGCCAGTCGGAAAAAGGCGACCATCAGGACGGGAAATGCAGCGAAACAGCTTCCAACCAGACACTTTTCTTCTTGTCCTGCTGAAGCTAGAGCTTTTGCAGCTGAGACAAAAGTTCCGCATCCAGTCAGATACGCCTTTCCGGAGTTTTTCATTTGTTGCCTGTTCTTGTGCTTGATAACTTGCAAGTGAAACAAAAGCAACAAGTATCGCCCATCTTTAGAAAAACCTCGTCAGGCATGCGCCCGAGGCAAGCATATGAGCACTGCACACCTTCTCAAAGCTTGAATTCTGCTCTGATAGAGCAATCCAAAACCATCGCCTCATGGAAAAGTGCTGGAATGATTGGATTCTGGTACCCAGCCTCTTACTTCCATCACTCGAATTCTTGTGGGTTTACAGTTGGTGAAAAGAGACTGGGAAAGCAATTGGCTTATGCGCGTTTACTGCTCACCTCAATTACCGTAGTGAGGGCGACAGTCCAGGGCACCACGCAAACGTTGTTTTAAAGGAGCTCCGGTACCTTTGACACATCCCTCTCTAACTCTACTAAAAGCTCGCTCGTGCCTGCTAGTGAGACTGCTGGTGCGGACCTCCGGGAAATGGCTCAACATTATAGTAGGCGCTTTCTCTTTTGCGCACGTCAGGCCCAGGATTTGCCGGAAGTCTCAAGCACGCCAAGGGCTTCACTTGTTCCAACTAATAGCGCTGTTTCAGGGAAGAGAGCCCATGCTCTCGAAGTCATCACTCTGTTGTAGCCCGGGTTCCCATACCCTTTTTCTTCTTTTCATAATACGTCTTGTTGACAACACGCACACATGAGCTGCATCTATGTCCCAGCCCATCTACAGATCCGGAATGGCGGGGAAACTCGGACGCTCGTTTCTGCTTGCCGCAGGCATTACACTTTTTCGTCTGTCTTGGGAGGTAAATCTGGGTGCCCCTCCTCTTCTGTCTTGCATCCATCACTCTCTTACTGCTGCAACTTTTGCACATTTTTGAACGCCCAATTGGACCCCTGTTGGCTACCTTGAATCTTTCGGCATCCTTAACCTCCCCACACTGGCTGCACCGCATTGGCTGGTCTGTTGGAAGCGACCGCGGCCGAGCAGCTTGCAATGCAGAGTCACAAGCCCTGCAGTAAACCTGCGTCCGATCCTTGCTCTTAGAACACTTTGCAAAATCCCTGAGTTCCTTTATGAGCCTACATCGACTGCAAACCTTCGCCCTCTCCCATGCCTCCGCCACACTCATCCCCAAGTGATGCAGCTCTTTCTGCATGCTCTTCGCCCGCAAAACAGCCAAGCACGCTCGGCACACCTCAGTCCGCCCGTCCATACTCGTAACTGTCTTTTCAAAGTCTACTATCAGCTTGGAATGTTCACAGTCTGGGCACGTTTTGACTCGGGTTTCTAACACACTTTCTGTGATTCCAGCAGGGTCTGCATCGGGCTCCACATTGGCCCCTTCCGAAACGGCTTCCACCCTTCTTCTAGTCAAGTGCCCACCGGAATCTGCTACCGCACCAGGCAAAAAGTGGGCCCCCTCTGCTGACTTTCCAAACCTCAGAACCGCACCCCGTCTGCCGCTCACGAAGGTTGTTTTACACTTCTCATCGCAGCACACCGGATACTTCTCAGCGATGCGGCTTCTTGACAGGACAGCCCGCGTGACCCGCACATGCTCAGCTACTGCGCCCCGAACACCACAAGCCACACTTGACAACTTGCTTGCACTACCCCATGATGCTTCGCCGTTGATGTGCACCCCTGATGCGGATGCCATTCTTTTTAAGCAAGCAGACAAGCGCCAGACAAGGCGCCTGATTTGACCACTGATCGAGTAGCCCTGAATCCTGATCCTAGTACCATGTTTCGTGTGTGCATCTCTGACACGGGCAGCAAACTGAGGCGGCAAACTCCATTCCTCCTCGACCCTGTCCAGCTTCAGAAATGGAGGGGGTTAGGCCCAGTTTAAACAGGGTTTCTTTCCGTATCAATATAGTACCGTAGAACTTAACTTTGTCGGAAGGGCCCGGGAAGGCGCAGGAACCGTCGGCGTTTAAATAGTACCAAAAGGCTTACCTACATTATCCCGTTAGGTAGTAGCGGTGACGGTTCTATTCGCAGTCTTGGTTAACCAAGATTTGGCAAAGGTACAGTAACCATGTTGGGTAAAGTGCCTATACACCCGGGTCAATAAGTTTTGTAACGAGCATTATGCCACCATAAACCCTGGTTAACCGCTAACCTCCTACTGCAAACCCTATCCCTGTAATCCTGAGTCCGAGTGGAGCATGTTTGGTGGGCAATCTTGAACCATCTCAAGCATCGGGCACAAACGGGGGCATGTTTGAGGGGCATGTTCAATTGCAAAAAAGAGCAAAAAAGGGGCAAATAAAGCACCATCCGTCAAGGGGGTGCACGCTAGCGGATACGGGCTTTTTGAGTGAAGTAAAGCCATTGTCTAGCCGGGGACCACCTACAGGCCATATGTTGTGGGGTGAAGGGTACCCAACTCTCAAGCGGGGTGCATATTATGCGTGCGTGAAGATGGGGTTTTACGGGAAAAGGGGTGTTTTTCGGTGTTTTTTGAAAAATCGCAACACATTTTCAGGGCCCGGTTATGTGAAGTGCCGAAACTTGACATGCGTAATCTCCATAACCTGTGCAACCTTTTTTGAGTCTGTACTAGTATCAAATTCAAGTTTGTTCGCCACCACGGACCCTCGGAAGGCCGATAGGTATCCGCAAGCCTAGCGAGCCATTTTCGTGGGTTGTGCATTTGATGCTCTGGAACTCCATCAACCGGCGTTTGGTTGACAATCCAACCACATTGAGCAGACCCTAGCAGTGTCTAGCCCGTGTAAAGATGAAAACGTGCATGTTCAAAAGCCAGGCCACGGGTGAATTTGCGTATTAGGGTTTTGGGAGCGAGTTTGGTTACAAAACTTATTGACCCGGGTGTAAATTAGTGGCTCCCGTGAAACTCCGTGAACGCGTCGAAACCCAATTATTACTCAGATGATTTCAACATTTTCACTCGCGTGAACGGTACCGGAGCAGGGATTCCCGTGGAATTACGCCCCGGCTAGCCAGCCACAGGCAGCCCCCCGGTTGTACCAGCTGGGGAGTAGGCGGTTGGCTCTACCGGTCAGCTGAGCCCACTACACACCTGTCAATTTTACCAGCTACCGAGGTGGCTGGGTGCCTTCGGCACCAGCCAGGCTCCCTTCCCGGCCAGCCAGGTCCGCCCCAGGCTGCCAGTTGTGGGAATCCCTGTACCGCAGTGAGCACACCGCTCGTCACCTACATTATTGTACCTAGCTGCCGGTAGTATACAGATATCGGCACCACGTGTAACGGCGCTAGCTTTCCGAGCCCTTCGCGGGGATCCCCTGGTAGCTATACGCGCGCGGGTCGCGCGGACTTGTGTCATTAACGCGCAGTGCGGCCACGAGTAAAACCCCAAGCCAGATCCGCCGTCGGATGGCCGGATCCGGTTGAATTCAAAACGGACATACTGTCTGAGTCTATGCATGTGCACGTACTGCAAGTCTGCGAC